ACTAATGGGATTTTTTAGAACCTAGACCAGCAATGGCTATTTATCAGTGGAAGGTCCAGGAATCCAGCAGTTGTTCAGTCTATGAAGCTACATGTCTCAGCTGGTCTTCAGTATACACCAGAACTCCAAAGAAGTAAGCTTATATCAGGGAAGGAATGGACTTGCTAGAGAGAGCAAGTAGTTAAAGAGTACACCAAAACAAAACACTTGCTTCTGCCATGTCCTTTATATAGGCTGCTGCAGACGGTGCAGCCCAGATTAAAGGTGGAGAGCTGCACTTGAGAAGATCCAGATGAAAAGTGTCTCTTCCCACTTCAGATGTTTCCATTGAGAAAATGCCCCTCAGCCAGGTGTGGGGGTACATGCCTTTAATCTCAGTGCTTAGGAGGCAGTGGTAGGAGGACCTTTTGAGTTTGAGGACAGCCTGGTCTACAGAGTGAGTTTTAGGACATCCAGGGCTACACAGAGATACTTTGTCTCAAGAAACCAAAAAAGAAAAAGAAAGAAGAAAGAATAGAAAAGAAAAGAAAAAGTCTCTTCCAGGTATACCCACCTTCCTACCTGCTTGAGTTTTAGTTAATTCCAGATGTAGTCAACAACCAAGAATAGCTATCCCAAGTACACCCTTTGTCAACTTAACACATAATCATATCTCATGCCATTCTTTATTTCCAAATGAAAACAATAACCGTCATAATTAGGCCTAAAATGATATAACTATCTCATGTACAATCACGTTATATATTTAACCAGGCCATAATTAGGCCTCATGTGATTTAACTATCCTTTGTACAACCACAAACACATTAGAAATTTTAGTAAATGTGGCAATGTCCCTTGAAGAACATTCTTATTTTTTTGCTTATTTTTATTTTTTGCTCTTTGGTGTTTTACCTGCATGTATGTCTGTGTGAGGGTGTTGGGTTGCCTGGAGCTGAAGTTACAAACAGTTGTGGGTGCTGGGAATTGAACTTGGGTCCTCTGGAAGTGCAGTCAATGCTCTTAACCACTAAGCCATCGCCAGCTCCAGAACATTCTTTTAGAAAACTTAAATATGATAACTACTGATACTTTCTTAATTGATGTTACATTGCATGATAAAGAAACTGAGGAAAGCCGGGCGATGGTGGCGCACGCCTTTAATCCCAGCACTCGGGAGGCAGAGGCAGGTGGATCTCTGTGAGTTCGAGACCAGCCTGGTCTACAGAGCTAGTTCCAGGACAGGCTCCACAGCCACAGAGAAACCCTGTCTCGAAAAACCAAAAAAAAAAAAAAAAGAGAAAAAGGAAAAAAAAGAAGAAACTGAGGAAAGGGCCGGGCAGTGGTAGCATACATCTTTAATCCCAGCACTTGGGAGGTAGAGGCAGGCGGATCTCTGAGTTCCAGACCAACCTGATCTACAGAGTGAGTTCCAGGACAGCCATAGCTGTTACACAGAGAAACTGTGTCTTGAAAAACCAGGGGAAAAAAAGAAAAAAAGGAAGGAAGAAATTGAAAAAAGAAAACACAATTATCTACATTCTTAAAATATAACAGAAACACTCATGTCCTCATTTTTGCAACTGGTCGCATAGCCTTAGCTGATATTTATAGCTTCCTTCCTCCACTACCTGTTCTGTATTTCCACTACCTTCAGCAGGCACCTCAGCAGGTCTTGGTTCTTTCCCTGAAAGAGTGACTATACCTTTATTCCTGACAGGTGTTTGTCTGCTGACCGAGTTTTCTGTCCCAACAGGTCCCACATTCGTTTAGTCCCAAATAAACACACAGAGGCCTACGTTAATTATAAACTGATTGGCCTGGCAAAGCAGTCACTTCCTCTGCGCTGAGTGGTGGTTGCAGACCATCCTCTTCCTCTTCCCAGAATTCTCTTGTTCTCATTGCCCTGCCTCTACTTCCTGCCTGGTTGCCTGCCTATACTTCTGCCTGGCTACTGGCCAATCAGCATTTTGTTAGAGATAATAAAAGTGACAGGATAAAAGACCATTGTCTCACAGCATGTGCCCTTTGTCATCCTGCCTGGATTGGGTTGTTTCTAGTTTCCATTGACTTTAATCACAGGGCATGGTAGCACTAAGAGACTTTCCAAAGGATCTCATGAACTTCAGACATAATCTTTCTTGCCTCCTTTATAGAGATGCAATCTACTTTCCCCATGATAATCTGAATCAATCACTCCTCCTGACACTGTTACTCCTTTCTTACCCTGTTGACTTAAATCAGAAGTCCAAAGTGGCCAGGGGGATGTCTCAGCTTCCAATTCAATGGAATGTTTGCTGTATCTTTTGGCAGGAGCACTCCCTTCTCTGGAACCAAAACTTCTAGATTAGCAGAATTAAAGGTCATGAAAACAGGAAGTTAAAATTTCCCTAGTAGGTCATTAGCAGGGATAGTGAATGTGACTATTCCCATTTCCACCCCTTGATTCCTGAGTCTGAGATCCTGGCTATGAGAGAAACCACACTTTATATTGGATGCTGATTCAAAGCATATACTCGGGCTGCTGCCACTTAATTGGTGCTATAACTGTGTCTTCAAAAGGCCGTTCCATCTTTCTATCAGGCCACCTGCTTTAGAATGGTAAGGAGCATGGTAAGACCAGTGGATTCCATGATTGTGGGCCCACTGTCGCTCTTCTCTGACTGTGAAATGAATTCCTTGGTCAGAAGCAACACTGTGTGGAATACCATCTCAGAGGATTAGACATTCTGTAAGCCCACAATGGTAGTTTTGGCAGAAGCATTGTGTGCAGGAAAGGCAAATCCATAATTAGAATAGCTCTCTATTCCAGTGAGGACAAAAGTGTTTTCCTTTCCACAAAGGAAGTGGTCCAGTGTAGTCAACCTGCGCCCCCCCCCCCCCCCCAGCTTGCTGCTGATAGCTCTGAGGAATGGTGTCATATCTGGGGCTCAGTGTTGGTTTCAGCTGTTGACACAGTTGGCACTCAGCAACAGCTATAGCCAGATTAGCTTTTGTGAGTGGAAGTCTATGTTGTCAAGCATAGTCCTCACCTCTGCCATCATGGCCACTTTGTTCATGAGCCCATTGGGCAGTGACACGGATGACTGAGGAAAGAGGCTCGCTGTCCACAGAACAACTCTTTCTATCTACTTGACTACTGAATTCCTCTGCTCTGGATCAGCACTTACATGGGACACAGTATCTTCATGTTCCTTCACCTGTTTAAAGAAATCCAGCTGCATACTTCTTCCCCAGATATTTGTCTCACCAATTTTCCAATCATGCCCTTTTCAAATCCCTGACCATCCTGCCACCATGAATCAGTGAACAATTGCACATGTTGTCATTTCTCCTTCCAAACAAAATGCATGACTGTGTGCACTGCTGAAGTTCCGCCCACTGTGAAAATTTCCCGTTTTTCAGGGTTGTAATGCTGCAGCTGTTCACTTATGAGTGGTTCCTGCATGAGATGCAGAAACATAATAAACTTCCTTAATCAACCAGTCATAGGGAATACCCCATGAGGCTTATAGGTACATGCTTGGCAGCATTCTAACCAGAATAGAAACCATAGGCATTTGGGCATATGGTTCTTATGCAACTTGCTGGTGCCTTCAGGACGTGCTGGGACTCAATCATGTATATACCTCTTTCATTTGATGATGGATTACTGCTATGCACATCCTACTTTCTGACTTGGTGGGTCAGATAACACCCAGCTCATAATGGGCAGCTCAAGTCACATAGTAACTTGGTGGCACATGGTCAAACGTTCCATTTCCACAAAGGCCCAATAGCAGGCCAAGACTGTCTTTTTTTTTTTTCTTTTTGGGTTTTTTTTTTTTTCTTTTTGGTTTTTCGAGACAGGGTTTCTCTGTAGCTTTAGAACCTGTCCTAGAACTAGCTCTGTAGACCAGGCTGGCCTCGAACTCACAGAGATCCGCCTGCCTCCGCCTCCTGAGTGCTGGGATTAAAGACCACCGCCCGGCCAAGACTGTCTTTAAAATGGAGAATGAGCCGGGTGGTGGTGGCGCACGCCTTTAATCCCAGCACTCGGGAGGCAGAGGCAGGCGGATCTCAGTGAGTTTGAGGCCAGCTTAGTCTACAAAGTGAGTTCTAGTACAGTCAGGACTGTTACACAGAGAAACGCTGTCTCAAAAAGCCAAATTAAAAAAAAAATAGAAAGAAAGAAAGAAAAGGAAAAGAAAATAGAGAATGACTGGCTGGAGATGATGGTGGAGTCTTGCTCCAAAATTCCAAAGGTCTCTTCTGTGTTTCACCTATAGGGGCTGCCAAAGGCCCACACAGCATCCCTATCAGCCACTGATACCCCAGGTACTACCATCAAGTCTGCTGGATCATATGGTCCAAGTTTTAGAGCAGCCTGCACAGCAGCCTGGACCTATTGAAGAGCTTCTCCTGTTCCAGGCCCCACACAAAGCTAGCAGCTTTCCAAGTCACTTGGTCTATGTTCTGGAGTAACATGCCCAAATGAGGTTTATGCTGTCTCTCAAATCCAGATTAACCCACTAACTGCTGCCCTTTCCTGGTAGTGGTAGGGACCAGGTGCAGTAACTACCCACCTACCCTTTACCTTATAAGGACACCTCTGCAAGCCTCAACCACTATTGAATCCTAAGAATTAGCTGAGTTAAACAATCCTTGAGTTTTAGTTGTTACTTCTTGTTCATTTAGTCCAGTCAGCATAATTTCATCACTATAGCTGTTAAGAAAACATGCAAAGTCTTAAGGGTTTGTTGGTTTATTAGTTTGTTATTAGTTTATTAGTTATTAGGCTTTTTTTTTTTGTGGGGCTCTACCACTGAGCCCCTTTAAGGCTTTGGGAGTTTTTGTGTCTTCGTTTTTTTTTTGGGGGGGGGCAGTTGTTGTTTTGGCATTTGTCATTTAGAATTGAGAACTTGAGATTTTAAAAAAGAAAAAAAAAATTTCTTCCCAGAGCTAGTTTTTAGAGTTCTTAGTTGATTCATTGGCAAATGGTAGGAAAATATAATTTTGAGTTTGATTTCATCTTTTTTCAGATCTTGGTCATAGTGGATTGGCAGAGCATTATGAAAATTCCCACTGGGGACAGCAGCCCACGTACAGAAGTGAAGCCAACTGCAGCTGGGATAAAGTGACAATAGACAGGACTGACCAGGAGGTGTGGCCGTCCATCCCAGTAACAGAGACTGAATCTGCCTCAGAATGTCCTACAGACACTGACTCTGCCTCCAACTGTGGCTCAGAGAACAGTAGCATGGCTACAGGGAGCGCCCAGGGCAGCTTCACAGGACATCCCAAGAAGACAAATGGCAATAATGGCACCAATGGTGCGCTCGTCCAAAGCCCTTCTAATCAGAGTGCCCTTGGGGCAGGTGGAACCAACGGGAATGGAGGTGTGGCCAGAGTGTGGGGTGTAGCCACAGGCTCCAGCTCTGGCCTGACTCACTGCTCTGTTGGTGGTGGAGATGGAAAAATGGACAACATGATTGGAGATGGGAGAAGTCAAAATTGTTGGGGTGCTTCCAACTCCAATGCGGGCATTAATCTCAACCTTAATCCTAATGCCAACCCAGCTGCCTGGCCTGTACTCGGGCATGAAGGAACTGTGGCAACAGGCAACCCTTCCAGTATTTGCAGTCCAGTCAGTGCCATAGGTCAGAATATGGGCAGCCAGAATGGGAACCCAGTGGGCACCCTAGGTGCCTGGGGAAACTTGCTGCCCCAAGAGAGCACAGAACCACAGACGTCCACTTCTCAGAATGTGTCTTTCAGCGTACAACCTCAGAACCTTAACACTGATGGACCAAATAACACTAACCCCATGAACTCTTCACCAAACCCTATCAATGCAATGCAGACAAACGGACTGCCAAACTGGGGCATGGCTGTTGGTCTGGGGGCCATCATCCCGCCCCATTTGCAAGGCCTTCCTGGTGCTAACGGATCATCAGTCTCTCAAGGCAATGGAAGTGGTGGGGAAGGAATGGGCAGTTCTGTGTGGGGACTGTCCCCTGGTAACCCTGCCACAGGAAATAACAGTTCTGGGTTCAATCAGGGGAATGGAGACACTGTGAACTCAGCATTAAGTGCTAAACAGAATGGATCCAGCAGTGCTGTGCAAAAGGAAGGGAATGGAGGGAATGCCTGGGACTCGGGACCTCCTACAGGTCCTGGTATCCTTGCCTGGGGAAGGGGCAGTGGCAACAATGGCATTGGTAATATCCATTCAGGAGCTTGGGGCCACCCCAGCCGAAGCTCTTCTAATGGTGTGAATGGGGAGTGGGGGAAGCCCCCAAACCAGCATTCCAGTAGTGACATCAACGGGAAAGGATCAACAGGGTGGGATAGTCCCAGTGCTGCCAGCCAGACACCTGCCTTGCAGCCTGGCAGTGAACACATGAGCTCATGGGCCAAAGCCACATCTTCTGGAACTACAGCAAGTGAAGGAAGTAGCGATGGGTCTGGCAGTCACAATGAAGGAAGCACTGGGAGGGAAGGAACGGGAGAGGGCAGGAGGCGAGACAAGGGGGTTCTAGACCAAGGGCACATCCAGTTGCCAAGGAACGATCTTGACCCAAGAGTTCTGTCTAATACTGGATGGGGACAGACTCCTGTAAAGCAAAACACTGCCTGGGAATTTGAAGAGTCCCCTAGGTCTGAAAGGAAAAATGACAATGGGACAGAGGCCTGGGGTAATGCAGCTACTCAGCCTTCAAACTCAGGGGGGAAGAGTGATGGGTCCATCATGAACAGTACAAATACCTCTTCAGTATCGGGGTGGGTCAGCTCACCACCTGCCGCCGTGCCAGCAAACACGAGCTGGGGAGACAGCAACAACAAAGCGCCAAGTGGCCCAGGAGTTTGGGGGGACTCTATAAGCTCTACTGCTGTTAACAATGCTGCTGCCACCAAGAGTGGCCATGCTTGGAGTGGGACCGTAAACCAAGAGGACAAATCACCCTCCTGGGGTGAGCCTCAGAAACCCAAATCCCAAAACTGGGGAGATGGACAAAGAGCAAACCCAGCCTGGAGTGCAGGAGCAGGCGACTGGGCAGATTCATCATCTGTTCTTGGACATCTAGGGGATGGGAAGAAAAATGGATCTGGATGGGATGCTGATGGTAATAGGTCAGGATCTGGTTGGAATGATGCCACGAGATCTGGGACCAGTGGCTGGGGCAGTGGCACAAACGCTAAGGTGAATCCTGGTACAAATTGGGGGGAGTCTCTCAAGCCTGGTCCCCAGCAGAACTGGGCTCACAAGCCCCAAGACAACAATGTGAGTAACTGGGGAGGAGCTGCTTCTGTTAAGCAGACAGGGACAGGGTGGATTGGGGGGCCACTGCCAGTCAAGCAGAAGGACAGCTGTGAGGCAACTGGCTGGGAGGAGCCTTCCCCACCATCCATCCGACGCAAAATGGAAATTGATGATGGTACCTCAGCTTGGGGGGACCCAAGCACCTACAACAATAAAACTGTAAACATGTGGGACAGAAACAATCCAGTCATCCAGAGCAGTACCACAACCCCTGTCACCCCCACGACCCCCACCTCGAGCAGCACCACACACCAAACCGAGACGCCACCTTCACACCAGGCTGGCACTCAGCTGAATCGGTCACCACTGCTTGGGCCAGGTAATCTGGGGCCCTCTGATTATACCACTGGTGTGTACTGTGTGTCTGTGTGTGAATCCTTGGACTGATACTTTTCATAGGAAATGACTATGCAGTGTAGCTGTTTTCAAGTGAACAAATGAAACAAGGTCCTTCAGTGGCTTTCCAAGAAAAGAAGCATGGGGTATGTTCAGTATGGCCAGTGTTTCTAGCCAGTTTGGCCCTTTTCAGCACCCATCCAGCAATCACAGGCTAATTTTATTTTGCCGTGCTATACTCTGTTTGTCTGGGTTCTTTATCAATAATGACACCACCATTGGGCAGTTGACACTCCCCCCCTTTTTTTTATAGGAGCAGCTTTGAGATCTTTCTGCTGTGCAGCTATAGTCTTTTTGTCTAAATCCCTTGTTCATGGTTCTGTGCATTTCTTTGGCTTTTGCCCAGCCGATGAAGCTTTACTTGTTCTTAGTACAGGTACAAGCTCCTTCTTCCCTGTGCTGTGTGAACAGTCTGGGTCTACTCCATACCGTAATCTAACCTTCACACGACAGGGCCAGCACTGATGGGATTTGGGAGAAAAGAAGCATAGTCCTCTTCAGTGAAGCCCCAGACCCCTTGCACTAGTGTGTCTTTTTGTTCTCAGCCTTGGCTTTCCTGAAATTGTCTTGGCGCTTCATGGGATGGGCTGTCAGTCCCAGAGAATCTGGTTTAATGGTTCTGCAAAACCATTAAAAGCTTCACTAATAGTTTTAAAGGTTGTCACTGAAAATGAAACAATATTTGTAAAACTTGAGTCATTATCCAAGTCGTATTTTTATTTCACTTGAAAGACAAATTTCAAATCAGACTAAGATTGTGTCTGAAGTTTCTGCTCTGTGTAAGTGAAAAAGAAGATATTGGGGTAATCCACCCAGAGCCATAGGCAACTCAAGTGGTTTTAAGAGAACAAGAGCTCATGTTAAAGCATAGGTAATACAGGTGCACTCTGGAGAACCAGCAGGAGCCTCAGGTTTCTATCTGGAATATTGGTCCATGGTACATAGTACTATGCTCCAGGCATAAAATGAGCCTGAGTGGTTTGTGAGAACTATACCACAGCACTCCCTGGATGTGGGAGGTAATACTGTCCAATCATGGCACAACTGTGTTCTGAAACCTCTGATACAGTGAGGATTGACTTCCTGGCCTCATGATCTTGTTCCTTAGACAGCCAGGGCCTGAAGCAGCCTTGTTCTGTAGTTGTGCTTTAAATTCTGTCCTTGAGAGGACAGTGTAGAGCTAGTTGTCCACCTGGTCCACAGGAGCTGTGGCCTATAGTTAGGATTTCTGGTGTTTTTAGTGGTCCTGTGGGAAGGCTTGAACTTAAGGATGCTGTCCTCAGAGCAACCTTGCTCTAAGTATGTGGCATGGTGTGCAATTAACAGAGACTGCAGCCTGCCTATCCCAGAGCTACACTCTATAAGTGAGCTGTGTCATGTACCCTTCTCAGATCAGAGTTAAAATCTGGTTACTTCTTGGTATTCTGTCCTGGGGACTGCTCATCCACATATGTCACTAGGTCCCAGGTGTAGAGCTCTGTTCCTGGTTTTAGCTTTTCCTTCCTGTTTTGTGTATGTGGGGTTATTAATTTGGTTTAGTTTGGTTTTAGAGCTTGTTTGCTGTTTTTTGGTGGTTTTAGGTTTGTATGGGTTTTTTTGGTGTGTGTGTGTGTGGTTTTTCAAGATAGAGTTTCTCTATGTAACCTTGGCTGTCCTGGAACTAGCTCTTGTAGATCAGGCTAGCCTCAAAAACACAGAATTCTGCCTTCCTCTGCCTCCTGAGTGCTGGGGTTTGGGGTGAGGGATGATAGTTTTTATGGACTTCGTGTGTGTGTGTGTGTGTGTGCACATATATATGTAATATATTTGTGTGTATATGCATGTTCATACACATGTGAACATATAAGTGGAAGGTATACATGTATATTAGTACTTGTAGAGGTCAAAGATTGATATTAAGTGTCTTTTTTCCATCACATTCCACCTTATATATTGAGGTTCACCTAGTCCACCTAGACGATTGATTGCTCCATGAGCTCCTGAGCACTAGGATTGCAGGCGGTCAAAACTAGAGTCTTCATGTTTGCATGGCAGCCGCTTTACTCACTAACCTATCTCTCCAGGGATCCCTTGTGTTTAAATGGACCATAAAAGACAAGAGGAAAATGTCTGCTCTCCTAGGTATCTTATATATAGGTTTCTCATGGTCATCCTGAGCTCCCTGTGTAGGAAAGTGTCCCTCCACTTGTGTCCTAAGTACATAGAGGCTTAGAGAGGCCACTAGAACCGGTGCTGAGTACTGGTTGACTGCCACATGTAAGTTACTGGCTTAAGTGGCCTTGAGATGTCTCGGCAGATAAAGGTACTTGCCCCCAAGCCTTGAAAGCATGAATTTGATCCCTGGGACCTATATGGATGAAGGAGAGAACCAACTTACAAGTTGTTCTCTGACTTCCACTATTACTCCATAGTTACCCATCCCCTCAAAAATAAATGGTTGTAGTTTCTTTAAAAAAAAAAAATAACAAAACCAAAAATGTAAAGGTGTTGGCTTAAAACACTGCCCTGACCAGTCACACTGCTGAAGTAGAGCTGAATGCACCATCAGTAGCAGCCTTGCTCCATACTGCTGTCAGGAAAAGTTGTGAGCTCTTTGCATCCTCTACTCCCATTCCGTGTGGTACACAGGGAACAAATGGGAAGAACAGGTAGGAATTCTTGAGTGGTTGGACATTTTGAAGAAGTCCTTACAGTAATAGGCAACCTGAGTAGAGACTCAAGGGCAGAAGCCGCAGGAAAAGGAAACAATTGTAGGAAGAGCTTGAAAACTTAGGCCTAGACTTACTTTTTGTAGAACTGGTTTTTCTTACTAGAAAACAAAGATTGACTCAGTGGGAATCTGCATGGGGAAGCAGGCAAGCAGCGATGGCAGCCGAGAGGGATAGTGGCAGGGTGAAATGGAGGGGATGCTTAAAAGGAACAGTGACAGGGAAAGCAAAGGAGTGGCTCAGCATTGTGGCCAGACACAAGCTGGCATTTCCAGAACACAGCAGGCAGGAGATTGGGTGGGAGGGGATGACTTAAGATACTTAAGAGGCTAGGACTGTGGTTCAGTGAACGAACACTTTCCCATCATGTTGAAGGCCCTTGGGTTCAATCCCCAGTCCCACAAAGAAAATGCTTCAAGTGGCAGAACTGAACACATTTAAAAGTCAATAGAGCCGGGCGGTGGTGGCGCACGCCTTTAATCCCAGCACTCGGGAGGCAGAGGCAGGCGGATCTCTGTGAGTTGGAGACCAGCCTGGTCTACAGAGCTAGTTCCAGGACAGGCTCCAAAGCCACAGAGAAACCCTGTCTCGAAAAACCAAAAAAAAAAAAAAAAAAAAAAAGTCAATAGAAAGGAGAAGATAGAGAAGAGCATGGATATAAATGGAGAGATCCCTTGTTTACTAGGGAAGAAGATCTATACTCCAACCTGTAGAAGGACAAGTGCCCAGGCAGGCCACTTCAGTGGCCAGGAGTGTGAGGGCACCAATACTAGCCATGAGGAGAGAGAAGGTGTGAGAACAGGGATGTGATATCTGTGTAAGAAGATGGAACAGATTGCTGACCATGCCCAAAGGACTTCCAGACAGTGATACACCCAATAGTGACTAAAATGGTCATTGTTTAGCCCCTGTGGGGCCTGCTCTGGGTTTGGCAGTGTTCTTGCTAAAGTCATAGAACATAGCAAAATAACCAAGCCTCTGCCCTGTGGGGCCTGTAGGCCAGGGGGAAGGGTGACAACAGAAGAGGGGTGGGAGTGGGGTATTATGTCACAGTTAAATGTGAAGCCTGGACAGTGTCCCCTTCTGTCCTCACTTCTCTGCTGTCACTACTCTATACACTCCACAGTTGACTGTACCTTCCAATGTCAGTGCCACATAGGAGTCCTAAATGGGTCCTTCTGTCCTTTTGTCTCTGAATGAAAGGTCACAGATTGTTCCCAGATGTTTCCCAGTTGGTGCTTATTTTTCTGTGAATCAACATTTTTAGTGAAAAGGCCAAAGTCCTATCTATTAGAAGCCTTGGTGTTACGCGGCAGCATTCTACTAGAGTGAAGGGCACTTGTACCAGTCCAGAGGACCCCAGCACTGTAACTTTTGACACTAGCCAACAGTTCTGGACCCAGTTTCTGCTGAATCTAATTATGTTAACTGACTGCTGCTTGAACATTTAAACATGCAATTCCTGGTTTGATTTATTATGTGCAGGGATAGGTCTACATGGAGGTGTGTATTTACATCAGTACAGATGCTCCAGAGACCAGAGGCATTGAATCTCTTGGAGAAGTTACAGACCAGTTGTAAGCTGCCTGACATGGGTGCAGGGAACTAAACTCAGATCCTCTGAAAGAACTGCAAGTGCTCTTAACTGCTGAATCAACCCTTAGGTCCCATTTACTCTAACTGATAAATGACTGTTTTTAGGAATTCAAATTTTAAGGACTTGAATGAGGAAAAGCAATTGATGGAGAGAAAAATGAAGGAAGCCAGGCAGAATAGTGCACATCTTTAATCCCAGCATTCAAGAGGCAGGGATAGATCTCTGTGAGTTCTCGGACAGCCAAGAAGGGGGTATTTGAAAATGCAAATGCAGTGAATGGAGCATATGGTTTAATGGCACATTCCTCTAACCTCAGTCCTCAGGAGGCAAAGGATCAGAAGTTTAAGGCCAGCCTGGACTTCATAATGTAAGTTCTAGGCTAGTCGGAGCTACATGTGAAAAACTGGTTCGAAACGGAAATAACACAGTGTAGTGGGAGAGGCCAGTAGAGCCAAGTCTCGGCATTGTGATCTGTGTGTGGTAAAGACGGAATGTACTCTGGGAAGAGTTAGCTTAAAATGGCCACCTTGGTCCACATAGTGAGCTCCAGGACAGCCAGAGTTACATATTGAAACCCTGTCTCCAAAAATGAGAAGGGTCACCACCATAGTCCTCATAGCATGATGAGTAATCTCACCATGTGTGCAAGCAAATATGTGTGAACATGTGTATGGAGACTGGAAGACAACCGCAGTCATCATCTAAAGAACACCTTAGAGAGATAGAGTCTCTTATTTTCCTAGGTCTTACTGGTTTGACTACATTGCATCCTTCTGTCTTTCCAATACTAGGATTACAAGAACTCACTGTGGAACTATTTTGTCAAAGCACACGTGACTGCCAAATACAAAACCAGAAAATTGTAGTGTGACACACATTTCAAAGTTCCTGTGTCCTCTCCAGTTTCTAGAGTCTGTATATTCTTAGAGCTGTAACAGTATCATAGAGGCTGCTGTGAATTTAGATACCACCAACAAAGACAAAATTACGTTTTATTCCATCTGGTCATTAACTGCATAGAAACTGTCAAGATTAGTATATTGTATAGCAGTAGAATATCAGCCTCTCTTCTACCATGGTGGTATTCATATCTCAGACCTAAAGCAAGTCAACTCAGAATCCCAATCACCAAGCCCTGTGTCTTTGCAAGCTTGTCAGGTGAGGCTGTTCTCTGACCCCAGAGAAGTGACAAACAGCTGGCTGACAGTCATAGGTTCTTCATGTCCAGACAAAAGACATCATTTTTAGTGGCTGAGTACATTTTTGTCGTTGATAAGCTTAGTATTTTGTAGGTAGGTATTCTACTGCTTTGCTGTTGGCCTGTGCTGGTTTTACATGATCCCCATTTATATCAGAGTTTGGATTATAAATTGCTTTTTAAATTGCTAGTCATTAAAAGTAAAGTGTCGATCTCCCCAGTCTTAACAAAATGAGGGTAAATGCAACAGGACAGCTTTGTCCTGATCTTACATAGGTAGTAATTTCCTGGAAGTCTCAGTAAAATCCATGTCTGTTAGGAAATTCTTTGTAGCTTGGCTAACTGGCTTGTTTGGACCTGACTCACCCCTAACCTTGGGGTTAGAACAGCAGTAATAGCCTGGAGAAATGTCTCTGTACCAGTCATTTTATCAGATTCCCAACTGCTTATGGAGCACTCACAGGCCATAGTGACATGGGATGCCAAGTCACAGCTCTGTACTGCACGTTACCGTGTTTCTCCTTGTGACATGACCTGATTGCTTATTCTGAGCCAGGCTGTCTGACAGAACCTGAAGCTGCTACATCTTATTGAAACCAGGCTGCTGTTTTGACCTCCTGTAAGAAGTGGCCAAGAACAAGAAAGCATAAACACAGCATTTATGTTTCTAAGATGCTAAAGCAAATTCTGAAAAATGTCAGGCAGCCTGATTATCTAGTATACTTGGACATGGTATCTCAAGGCAGTTAAATAGCTTGCAGACGCATAGGAAGCAGTAAGTATAAATGTAACTGTTCAGGATACAAGTCCTCAGCGATAGATGGTCTCTAAGTGCAGCTGTGGGACCTAGATTGAGTTAGGTTCTGTTTGTTCGTAGAGGGGTAGGTGTCTGGAATATATTTGTTTTGAGTCTCACTCTAATCCTTTCTATCCTGAAACTACCCTGCCTCAGCCGCCAGTGCTGGGATCGCAGGCCTTTGGCCCTGGGCCTGGTTACCAGAGGCCATTTCATCCCTGAGCACTGTCAGTTCACCTAAATGCTCTGATGATTTTTAGAGAGGTTGATATTGGAGAAAGATACATGTGGAGGGCAGTATATAGTTGATCCAAGCAAGATGAGGGACCCCGCCCACCATGGGCTCCGGAAGACTGAGCTGTTGTCCAGCCCCAAAAGAAGTCTCCATTTGCCACATTTCTTCTGTAGCCTGTAGACACACAGTGGTGCCAAGGTTAAATATTAGCTCCCTGTGAGAGCACTTGAGGAGCTTGTTCAGACTCCTTATGCATCCTGCTGACTGCCCACTCTTACATCCTCGGTCACCTGTGGTAGCTGCAGCACGTTTGAGACTGCTCACCAGAAGCCTGTGGTTGGCTCTCAGTGTCCGGAAAAACTGAAGCTAACTACAAGCTTGGCTTTGCATTTACATCCACTGCTATTTGCTTCAAAGCTTGCTTTTCTGACAGAAATATTGTAAGGTTTATAAAGACAGGTCACGTAAGTTAATCGTGGAAGAGGCACTTCTAACATTTACTACTCTGATACGTGGGAAAATGTGTCCCTGCCTAGGTCTGTGATTGGTGATCTCTGAAGTCTTAACAGTAGCAAAGGAACAGTGACCTTGCTGCAAGCGTCCAGACCTTCCAGGGACTTCCTTTATTCTTCTTCAGTGTGAATCAGCAAGACACCGGGAATCTAAAATTACCTCCCAGTCACCAGCTGGAGGGATTCAGTGTTCAGCACCAGTGCAGTAGTTTTTAACAGGGAGGTGATCTTAGTGATCTGAACTTCTTATAGTGATGGGTGGGGTGGGTAGATTTTGTTTTGCTGTATTTTGTAGGGCATGGGGATTGACTGATCTGCTGCAGAAGTGAGAAGGGTGCCTGTGTGTGACAGCCTGTGAACGCCTACATGGGCTCCCACTACAGGGCCTTCACTTAAAAATAAACAAATGGGTAACAGTATTGGAAATACAATATGGCCCAAGAATACCCATAAAAGTGAACACGCGCCTGCGAAGAGAAAAACTTTCAGCAAAAAATAATAGTATTTGAAAATTTCAGAGGGTTTTAGTGAGGGATGGAAGGTGTTTTGGAATGCTTAGGATGGAGCACAGGGCCTCATGGGTGCTTTAAACAGTCTCCCACTATGCTTCATCCTCCAGTCCATGAAGGGTAATTTTCTTCATTTTAATATCAGTGTTTTAAGTATAAATAAAACTTGGTCTGCCTGTTCCATCCAACTGTTTTACCAAAAGGTGTCAGGGTTGGTCTAACAAACACTAAGCAGTGGACATCATTTTAAGGCTGTACATTTAAAATTATTTGCTGTGAGGCGAAGTGCTTCTGCACCAGAACTGTTGATGTGTTTCAGTTTGTCACATTTCTTCTGGGGGCTAGACCCTGAGTCTGTGTGAGTCTTGCCAGAGATCCGCTTAGCCCAGGGAAACTGCTTGCTTGCTTTTCAAATCAGGTAATATCCCACTTACCACCAAGGCGCTAAATGTAAATGTGATGAACATTTGCTATATACACATGTTTTGTAGGATTTTCTACTGATTTTTTTTTAACACAAACCAAAACTTTTCACAAAAATTAATTAACTAGTTAATTAATTACTATGATCTGACTATTTATACTTTAATTCTAACTTGATTCTTCTGTTAGTAATTTGTGGTCTGGCCTTCCAGAGACATGCACATGGAGGAATACCAGATCAAGAGAATCACTGCTCACTCTTTCAGCTGCTGACTCAGTACCTCTCTGCTGTTGGATCACAGTACACATTATCAGCTGGGGAATTGTCTTCATTTAATTGTCCCTTAAATTTGTAAAACTGCTTCAATTTTTGTTACTATTTTCTGTGTAATTACAGATAGCAGTTGCCAGCAGTAACTTAGCAGTTATTGTTGATAGTTTGCTTAAACTGTTGTTCAGCAGAGAGCTTGTACTTTCAGGTGATTTATAGCTACATGTCCTTTTGTCATTAATCTGAATGACTGCATTTTATTAGAATAAATAAAATAGAGTATCTTGGGAACCAATCCCATATCTTACTAAAGATATTTAGTAAGAAAATTAACAAATTTCACAATTGAGATAATAATAGTCATGTTGAAAGCAGACGTTTAGAACTGACCACAGTATGTGATGTCTTCTCTTGAGATCTCTTTGAGCTAATGCACTATGTGGTGTTGTAGGTCTTGGGAAATGTTCTTGTCACTGTCAGCAGAAGTGGGCAGGGGCTCCATGGAGGTGCTGAGTGGCAAGGGTTCAACTTGAATTGGAAGATTGCAGTTTGACCTCAGTTTCACTTGTATCCTTCCTCTTTCCCAGTTTCATCCGGCTGGGGAGAAATGCCCAGTGTGCACTCCAAGGCTGAGAACTCATGGGGAGAGCCGTCCTCCCCATCTCCCCTGGTCGACAATGGCACAGCAGCATGGGGGAAGCCTCCTAGCAGTGGCAGTGGATGGGATCACCCTGCTGAGCCAGTGGTGCCATTTGGAAGAGCCAGCGCTCCTGCTGCTGCCCCAGCCCTGTGCAAACCAGGTAAGATAAGCCTTCTGCTTGCCTGGACATGGCAGTTAAGAAACTGTTTGTGTGGTTGTGGAGACAAATCAGTAAGATTATTTGATGTGCAAGTATAAGGACCCTGAGTTCAAATATCCAGCATCTATATAAAAAGCCAGGCATGACTATACATGTCTCAAAAATAAAATCCACAGAAAATTCCTTTGTATAATATCCATAATGCTCTAAAATCTGGCACTTTTGAATAACAACATGACACTCTGAGTAAGATTATTTGATGTGCAAGTATAAGGACCCTCTGAGTAGAAAATTGCACATTCTATGTCATATGTTATATCAGTCAAATTCTAGGCAGGCTAAAAATGACATGTTTACAAAGGAAAGAAAGGGTTGTCTCTCACAGCTCTAAGGCTGCGGGGCTCCTGAGCACAGTGCTCATCAGCAAAAGCTGGCATATAGCAACATGGCAGTGAACATCACACATCACCTAATGCTCTGTAGAATCACCAGGCTGAGCCGGGCATGCTACCACATGGCTTTAATCCCATCAAAAACACAAGAATCTGAGGCCAGTCTGGTCTACATAGCGAGTTCTTGGACAGGCAGTCAGGACTATGGAGAGGGACCCTGTCTCAAAATTATTATTATTGTTACTACTATTACTGCTACCAGGCTGTAGCTCAATGGCAAACTATTTGCCTGTGGTCCTGATACCAAAAAAAAACAAAAACAAAAACACAGAAAAGCTGGGCAGTGGGGGGCACAAGCCTTTAATCCTCGGGCCAGAGCAAGTAGTTCCAGAACAGCCAAGGCTACACAGAGAAACCCTATCTCAAAAAAAAACAAAACAAAACAAAACAAAAACCAAAACCTAAAAATTCCCTTCATGTGCTGGACCTGTAATTTTGCCTAGCTTGCACAAGACTACCTGAACTCAACCTCCAGAACTACAGATAATAAATAGAATTTCCGTCAGGAAATATATGTAAATTATATACGAAATATAAATGACTTTTGTGTTTCTAGTCCCTAACATAGCCTATTCTAAAATCCGAAACATTTCTGTTAACAAGCATTACAGTAATAGACATTCACCTGTCTGTACCATTTTATACACACCCATATGAATTCATTTCACCAAACAAGATGCATAAATGATGTCATTGTGTTCTTCTTGGGAGTAGGATGTAAAAGTATAGTATTCTGATGTTTCTTGCTTTGCTTTTATCTTGAAAATAAAATCTATTTGGGTTTCCAAGTCTGTAGTTAAAAAACAACTTGAGGAGCTGAAGAGATGGCTCAGAGCACTGACTGTTCTTCCAGAGGTCCTTAGTTCAGTTTCCTGAAATCACATGGTGGCTCACAGCCATTTGTTAATGAGATTTGGTACCCTCTTCTGGCGTGCAGACATACAAAGAGGCAGAACGTTGTATATGTAATAAATAAATCTTAAAAAAAAAAAAAAAAAAAAAAAACCTCGAGCAGAAATGAGTATAGGCTGCAGTTTGGTGGTAGAAGACTTGCTTAGTATGTTACCAGGCCCTGGGTTACATCCCATTACTGAAAAAGACCACAAATAGAAACAGTAAAATACCTATTTCCATGGCTGCAAAAATCATTCTATTTTCTTTGCTTGTTGTTAGATATATGTTCTTGATTGATTGATTGATTGATTGATTGATTTGAGACAGGGTCTCACTATGTAGGCTTGGCTGGCCTGGAACTTACTCTGTAGATTGTGCTGGCTCACATTCAACAGACATCTTCTTGCCTCTGCCCGCCATGAGTTGGGATTAAAAGTGTACCACCAAGTCCAGCTCTGTCCTGGAATCTTAAAGGGCATCGTTTTTTGTATTTTACTGCTTTGCTAAAAGTGGATATTTGTTTCATATTGTCACTGTTCTAGAAATATTTATTCCACTCTAGTTAATTTTTTTTAATATTTATTTATTTATATGTATACAATATTCTGTCTGCAGGGCAGAAGAGGGCACCACACCTCATTACAGATGGTTGTGAGCCACCATGTGGTTGCTGGGATTTGAACTCAGGACCTTTGGAAGAACAAGCAATGCTCTTAACCGCTGAGCCGTCTCTCCAGCCCCACTCTATTTAATTTTTGTTAAAAATCTAGGGGAAAAGAAAATTCTGGATGTTGAGATGTATGTGTTGTTTTGAAGTAGGATATCACTTTGAGCTTTTGTTCTCAGTCCCAAATTGTTGGTATTTCTTTTTTTAAAAAAATGTTTATTTTTATTTCTGTTGGTGAGTATGTGTCTGTGTGTGCAGGTGATCTCAGAGGCCAGGAAAGAGAGGTGTATCTCCTGGAGCTGCTGTTAATTAAATTGCTGTTGTAAGCACCGAAGTGGGTGCTAGAAAGCAGACTCAGGTCCTCTGGAAGCCAGGAAGCCCTCTTCCTGCTGAGCCTCTTTCCAGCCTTCAGTTTTAGCACCTTAAACAGCCTGCAACTGCCTGAACTTCAGCCTAGTTCTTCTAAGAAGTAAACAGTGTGCGGCAACTCTGAAACCTAAATAAATAAATAGAAGCTATTTAAAAAAAAAAAAAAGAGGAAGAAATAACATCTTGAACAGAAAATTTAGTAGGCTGGTTCTGATCTCTCTCTTGAGTGTGGACATCTTCTTGACCGCTGTTAGAAAAGCAGGCAGCTGAGCTTCCCAGACCTGCTTCCTGTAATGTGATCCCTGTGTCTTCCTGACTCCTGCCTGTTGCCAGGTGTGAGAGCACTGGCTCAGATGAAGTACCACCCAGGGTTTTCTCTGGCTGAGACATGAGACCTGAAAAGAAGGTCAGTGACCTTGTGGGGAGTTCACATTTGAGTGGCATTTGTGAGAGACCAGTACACTATCCCCCTCCGGTTGCTCCAGGACTTATTTTTAGAATCCCTGTGTATCCAGCTGGTGTATAGTTGGTTGAGGAAGTTTGGAGCCGCACAGCTGGATTTTAAACATTACACTTTATCTGTGCCTTTCCAAGAGAAAAGTAATAGCTAAAAGGTAGATAACATAGTTCTGGTTTTCACCATCCCTGTTGTGTCAGGTGACACAGGTTTCTTCTCAGAACAGGTGAGTCTGACAAGTTCCTATCTGCTCTCTTCCAGCTTCCAAATCTATGCAAGAAGGCTGGGGCAGTGGTGGGGACGAAATGAACCTGGGCACCAGCCAGTGGGAGGATGAGGATGGGGACATGTGGAATAACGCTGCCTCTCAAGAAAGCAGCTCATCCTGCAGCTCCTGGAGCAATGCCTCAAAAAAAGGACTTCAGAAGGTAGGCACTGCTGGAGAGGCCTGGCGGCCAGTAGGCCTGTACTGTAGACTAGGCAGATACAGTGAATGGTACAGAGATAGATTCGCTCCCAGGTAATCTTGGGACTCTAATCCTTTCTGTAAATTGGAAAGATTAAAAATATTTTCCTATTAATAAAATTTTGTTCTTTCAGTTATTTTTGGGGGGCGAAGGTGGTGTGTGGATTGCAGCAAAATCATAAAGCATGCACATAACTGATAGCACCCTAATTATAAGTCAAAAGAGAGGGAGAATGTAGGGGGAAATGCCATTTATATGATAAAGAAGATTCATCTCCCTGATACATAAAAGTATCCAATATTCTAATGAAAATGAGCAAAGAGTGTAAAAATGATCAGATGATAAAGTACTGCCCAACGTTTAAGAGGGTGGCCATCCCTACTCAGAGAAAACCACTTGAGCCAATAGTGAGAGGTGCTGGGATGGAGAGATGGCTCAGTGGTTAAGAGCATTGCCTGCTCTTCCAAAGGTCCTGAGTTCAATTCCGGTAACCACATGGTGGCTCACAACCATCTGTAATGAGATCTGGTGCCCCCTTCTGGCCTCCAGACATACATGCAGACAGAATATTGTATACATGATGGATGGATGGATGGATGGATGGATGGACGGACATTTTTTAAAAACATAGCAAAAAATACTGAGAGGTGCCATTTTTCATCTCTGACTAAGAAAAATCCAGAGGTCAACTAAACACCCTTGGGAGCTGGGCTAGCCATTGACCGTGGGCTCAATCCTCAAAATAGAATACAGAAGTAAATGAAATACAAGTTTATCTGTTGTCCAGACTGTGGGACATCAGTTCTCACTGCACCTTGCCGGCAGTTGTACACTAATGTCACCTGCACATTGACATAGCACTGCCATTTGTCATGGGCATTTGTAGTTCTTTTGTAAGATTGTTGTCATCAAAAAATGAAAATGAATGTGTTAGTACAGCAGCCAGTTGGACTCTGTGCATTCTAACATGAGGAACCAAATGCTTGATGAATGTGTACTTAAGAAAACATCAGCAAGCAACATCATTGAGAGAAAAAGCAAGGTACAGAACATACATAAAAACATACATAGCGGGGCTGGAGAGATGGCTCAGCGGATAAGAGCACTGACTGCTCTTCCAGAGGACCCGGGTTCGATTCCCAGCACCCACATGGCAGCTCACAACTGTCTGAAAATGCAGTTCCATGAGATCTGACACCTTCACACCAACAAACATAATAAAGTTAAATAAATTAAAAAAAAGTTTTAAAAATAAAAAAAAAACATACATAGCATGGACCACTGACCTGTGGTGAAATGAATGAAGGAATGGTTGTGTATACCTGAAGCTGCTTCTGCACAATGGTCCACGTTTCCTGTTCTCGGAAATTTTCAAAGGAGAGACTTCTTGGAGAGATCAGGCTCTAAGCAGATGAGGTAGTATGGAAAGATACCTTTTCTCTTTACCCCTTTTCTAATTAGGAATTATGAATGTGTTATTTTTTAAAAATAGAGTTTTTTAAAACATTCATGATAAGGGGTGATTGCAGACATGAAGAAAAGCTGTTTTACAGTGGGGCTGGGGAATCCAGTTGCCATGGGACCAGAAATCCCCAAGTAGTAAACTGCTGTGATAGGATCTGACCCTGGCAGCATGCTGTCCAGGTAAACTGCCTGTTAGGGAACAGACGCCTCCTGGCTGCTGCAGCTGCGCATTCTACTGTGGAGTTACAACAGCCTCCATGGTGAAAGAGTGGCAGTACACACCTGTAACCCAGCACTCAGGCAATGAAGACAAGAAAGATCAAGAATTCAAGGTCATTCTCAGCTATAGAGCAAGTTTAAGACCAGCTTGGGCTACATGAGACCCTGTCTGAAAAGGAAGAAGGGAGAAAAGAAAAGACCTCTAGAGGGAAAGGAAATAAGGAATGGAGAGAGCAAACATGGTGAAACAAATTCTTCACAAGAAGGGTAGGGTTTTTAAATTTGGTTTTGTTTGGTATTAGGGAGAATACTTAGGCACTGATCATCTTGTATACCTAGTTCTCATGGCACCCTTTGTATCCCCTGCCTCTGGGCTGCTGTATTTTCTTTGAGGTTGGTTTTTTTCTCTTTTTTCTTTAACATCTTCCTTCATACTTCTTTCCTCTCACCTGAGGGCCAGAATATGGATGAGAATGGGTAGTTAATAAGGCCCACAGGCTCGTTCTTCCTTTGTTATGTGCTCTTTTGTTCCCTGGAACAAGGGTAAAAACCGTGTAATCTTTAGTAGACTTCACATAGCACAGCGCTTAGCAACGTTCCCTGTGACCAATGGAAATAATACATTTTGTGATTAAACATAATTTTATAAAAAGGGAAATAATTACCCTGCTTTTCGTTAGTCCATAAATGCCATGCGTTAACCAGTCTGTAGATGCAGCTACAGTTTCCCATGGTGCTCACTACGAGATAATGCTGGACTCTGAAGAGCACAGCACAGTTCACTCACAAGGTTCTGTGGCTGCAGTCACTGAGTTGGGGCTGTCACCCAGTTAATGTGGCACATCAAAAGTAACTCTTGGCCTCTCCCCTTGTCCCTTCTCTTCCAGGGCATGAAGACACCTGGCAAGCAGGATGAGGCCTGGATCATGAGCCGACTGATCAAACAACTCACAGACATGGGCTTCCCGGTAACTGGCATCTTGATATCCTTCCCATTCTCCAAGTGGGTGGCCTGAAAGCGTTCCCTAGCCAGTCTGTGGTGTGTGATGAGGCAGAGATGCTTGCAGGATGAAGTTACTGTCTAATTATTTAGTTACTACGTTCCCTTTGGCCTAGGCCATGAGTAGAGCAAAGAATCATGCAATTTCCATCAAGAATATCTTTTTCTAAATAAAACACTATGTATGATTTGTAATTTCCATGGACTTAGACAATTTCATATTTTCTTAAAATTTATAATTACATGGGAGTTAGTTCTTTTATGTAGTAAATAAAAAGGTCCAGTAAGAAACTGAGTACTAAGTTAAAGCATCATGCCTCCCCACGGCATCCTAACAAATTGTTTCCGAGTTTCCAGTATGTAGACAGAACTAAGATGTCCCAGATGTCCCCTGAAGAAATACCTCATGCCTCTCAGTCCCTCAGGTCAAGTGATGACAGTCCAGATAGCAAACTATTGCCCCCATTCCACGCTTAAACCCTTCACGTGCCTCCTTCCAAATCCCTGCTCAATGAGTATTCATCGCTCAGTCATTCCTGTGTCTAAAAAAGAATAGGTCCAGAATGGCCTCATGCCTTGCACTAGTACTGTATAAGCTGAGACGAGACATTCCCCTGTGGGACAACCTCTCTCTAGAAGGGCCAGAAAATATTGTAGGAGTTGTAGCATGCCCCACCCTTATCCCCAGCAACATTGGTTTTCTTTTTTTGATTCTTTTTAAGATTTTTTTTCCTAATGATTAAATTATTGTTTAATTTATGTACATGTGTGTGAGCCTATATGAGTTTATGAGCCTACAAAGGCCAGTAGTAGATATGGGATCCCCTGGAACTGGAGTAACAGTAGATTGTGAGCCATCTTGTGGGTGTTAGGAATTGAACTCAGGTCCTCTGCAAGAACAGTAAGGTCTCTTAACCTCTGACCCATCTCTCCAGCCCTTATTTTCATGTATGCCTCTGGAGGTCAGGAAGGTGCTACATCTCCTGGAGCTGGAGCTAGACTGCTGCAGGCTGCTGTTGGGGGGGTGCTCTGGAGGAGCAGCAGTGCTCTCATGTGTGTGTATGTGTGTTTGCTTGTGGGTTTGTATGTATGCATGCAGTGCCTACAGAAGCCAGAAAAGTGTCAGATCTCTTAGAACTGCAGTTGTTAATGGCATTTGTGAGCCACCCAGTGTGGTGCTGGGAAATGAACTGTAATTCTTTGTAAGAGCAAGCTCTTAACTGCCGAACCATTTCTCTAGCACCTAGCAAGCAACTCTGATTTTCTTCAGACATCCGTCTGTACTGATGGAATGACAGTTACCAGTGTGAATCTGATTGCTTTCTTGTTTCTTGAACAAAAGTTTGGTTGATAGAGACTGGCACTGATGACTTACAAAAGGTTGATGGTAACGTAGGTCCTGGCACTCAAAGTGACAGATAAGATCTGCATGTGAGGTCACAGCTCTGTAATCCTGCTGAGTTGTCACTGCTCGGTGCTATACAGAAGCAAGTGTAGGGGTGCTTACAGAGTTTTCTAGGATTCCACATTTTATTTCTAGCATGTTAAATAAAAGCTTTCTTTCTTTTTGAGACAAGATCCCACTGTGTAGGCCAGCTTTAAATGCATAGAAATCTGTCTGCTGAGATTAAAGGCGTATGCTGGCAATCCCCAACTCATATAAGTTCTTGACTTCTCCAATCTAGACTCAGTACAGTCATTTTTAGCTACAAGTGTTTTCTGTTTACAAGTCCCATCACGATAACACTCAGGAGACAGAGGGAAAGTCTACACCGTAGAGTTCCAGGCCAGCCAGTGAGACTGTCCCTTTTTTGTTTTGTTCTGGTTTTGTGTGTGTGTGTGAGAGAGAGAGAGAGACAGAGACAGAGAGACAGGGTCTCACTTTGTCTCTCTGGGTAGCCTGAAACTTGTATAGATGAGGCTGGTCTCAAACTCACAAAGATCTGTCTGTCTCTGCCTCCCAGGTGATAGAATTTAGAGGCATGTGCCGCCACACCTGATGAGACCCTATCTTAAACAAACAAACAAACAAAAAACTGTCTCTGACTTCAACTGCAGAGAAAAACATTTCCAATTCTAAAAGCTAGTATTGGTAGGTGCTTTCTCCATTAAGAGTGCTGAGCTGTTCAGAGCTACTCTGGTTGTCTGTCTGTGCACCACTAACGAAAGCTCTGCTTCACCCCCAGAGAGAGCCAGCTGAAGAGGCCTTGAAGAGCAACAGTATGAACCTTGACCAGGCCATGAGTAAGTAACAGGTGCCTCTTGGGAAGTTTTGCTTTGTAGAACCATTTGCTTATAGTCATGGTTAAACTTGAAAACAAATCCAGGGTCCAGGGAAAGAGCAACCACAGAATGCACCAATCATAGGGCGAGTGTTTGGGGCCAGGTGAGCTATAGAGACAGTATGCTGTGTTGGCAGCTATTTACCTTTGGTTCATGTTTATATTAGCTAACTCTTGTTGCTGTAACAAAAACAGCTTAAAGGGAGGAATTACTTCTGTTGGCTAACAGTTTCAGGAAATTCAGTCCTTTGCATTTGGACAAAACAATCATGTTAACAGAAACATGTGAACAACCTTCTTTACTTCCTATAGGCAGGAAGGAGTGAGGAGTACAGGAAAGGACCTGAGAAAGACATAGCTCCAAGAACACACACATTAGTAACCTACTTTATCTGGGCATTTTCCAATAATGTTGTCATATTATGTATGAATCCATAGAGGAAGTAATGCATTCTTCATCTTAGATCATCCCTGAAACCACTCTCAGAGGCACACCGAGATTTGCTGTGCTAATATAAGCATTCTCAGTCTGGAACAGGTGGTGTTCAGCTGCATTGTGAGCTGCTGACATGCCAGGCCAGACTGAACACACCCATCTATCCTTGGCCTGGAGGAGACACCATGTCACAAGTACCAGTCAGGAACAAGCAATCTATTCTTAAGCTACCAAAAGATTAATGTTTATCAGTTTTCTGTAAAATATTGTCTATTTTTAGTTGGATGTGGTATCATATGTTTTTAATCCTAGCATTCAGGAGGGGCAGAGGCAGGCAGATCTCTATCAGAGTTACTGGTGACACCCTGTCTCAAAAAAAAGAAAAAAAAAGTAAAAAGATATATATAGTCTACATTTTTAGTGTGTTAATAGCAAACTTTATTGTCACTGATATTTCACTGTAACATAATTTCATAGCAGACCTATAAAAAAGATCCCACATCACAAATATCACTAAGAGATTTCACACATTTCTGGGCAGAACATGTAGTTCTGGGGCCCCCCAGTGTTGATACCTGACGTTTTACCCCTTACCTACTAGTCCAGAAAGGAGAGCCATCATCACATAAGCATGAAACTGCATGAAGGCAACATGTGCTCAGGTTAGACCCTTAACGCCTCCGAACACTACAACTATGAAGGCAACGTTTGCTCAGGTCAGACATTGGCTGCCTCCGAACACTACAACACTAACAGGTCATCTTCTCCTGACCATGCTCAGTCTATGCTGTGTAAAATGTCAAAGTCTGTAAATACGCTGCATTTTTTCTTCATACATTATAAATGTGGCAGTTTGGAGAGTTTTAGTTCTTCATGAGCTAAAGAAGGGATGAACCTGACATACTGATTCCAAGTTTGGCAACCTTCAGCAAATTGGCACCTGAGATTAAACGTGAAGGCATAGATTCCCCAGAGTTGTGGAATCTCATCCCCATAAGCCAGCCAGTGTCCCAGATAAAGCTAGGAAGACCCACACATTCCTTGGGTTCCTGAGATTTCTGTAGCTATGAAGAGACACCATGTCCATACCAGTTCCTATAAAGGAAAAAATTTAGTTGGGGTGGCTTACATTTCAGAGGTTTAGTCCATTATCATTAGCATAGTATGACATGGCAAAATACATGCAAACATGGTGCTGGAGGAGCCGAGAGTTCTACATCTTGATATGCAGGCAGCAAGAAGTGATCTGTCTCTCTGGGCATGGCTTGAGCATATATGGGACCTCAAAGACCATCTCCACAGTGACACACTTCCTCCAATAAGACCACACCTACTCTAACATAGCCATTCCTCCTAATAGTGCCATTCCCTTTGGGGGCCATTTTCTTTCAAACCACCCCAGCTGGTAAGCACCAAGGCCTGGTAGGATCCCAAAGAAGAGTCCAGCAGCCAGGGACAGCACACTACCTGCTTTTACATAGCCAGTAGTTTCACTGGTAGCAACCAGGACTGCGTAGCCCAAGCCAGAATAATGTAAAGGCATCAGTGCGCCACTGTCGTCCACATTATCCAGTCATTCTCAAGACCAGATCAGGTCTGCACCCAGTACTGAAGTCGGAGCGCAGAGGCCTGTGCTGGAGGACAAGGGAAAGAGCAGACAACCTATATTTTTATATTCCTGGCAATTACATTTTCTAAAGCCGTGACTAGCATTTCCTTAGCCAATACAAAGCCCTCTTTTGGGGTAAACCAGGGAGGGCCCCACAAAGCCTATTAGCCATAGCTACCCTTGTTTTATGCGTGTTTATGTTTCAGACACTTTATTTAACATGTTTTTGTAATGAAATGTGAGTTAATTAGGATATAGTATCTCCTGGCCGTGGGTAATGTGGCTGTGATGGGTTTTTTGTTGTTGTTTGGTTGGTTGTTTGGTTTGATTTTGTTTTTTGGTTTTTTGTTTTGTACTCAGACTACAGCTGTACTGCCCATTATCCATGTTTTTTAATTGTGTAGATGTATGAAGTGTCTGTGAACACATGCAGTAGTACATGTGTGGAGGTCAGAAGACAGTTTTTGTGGAGTCACTTCTCTCCTTCAACTTTTACTCGGATTCTGGGGATCAAACTCAGGTCAACACATGTGCATAGTAAGCTCCTTTACTGCTGAGCGTGTTGCCAGTGTCACTACACCTGCCTGTTTGTTCATCTGTCAGTAGCCCATGCTGTGGATGGTAACCTCAGACAATGAAATCATTTTCCTCTGCTTCCCTCTGATATTGTTAACACTGAACGCAAAATCCACAATGTTCAGCTCACATCTGAAAGAAAATGACCTGGCGCGTGCACTTTCTCTGCACGGCACAGCTAGCTTTCCTGTGTTAGGGTCACCACATAGTGCTACATTAGGGAATAGTTTTAATTCCAGAATCAACAAACACACACAGCTGAAGGGCGTAGCACCAAATGCACCAGAGTTGCTTTTCAGTGTCAGGTCCAACAAGGAGGCAACGCGCTGACTTGTCCCCCTGAATTGGACCTTGTCAACAAAGTCAAGTTTTCTGCCCACCTACAGGGGTCCACAAGTGACCATAAACATGATACAATGAGTGAGTATAGAACTCATGAATGAGAGAGACAGACAGTAGCACATTTATATAAAAATGCCAAATCGTGTTGTGCATAGTGTAGTAAGGCAGGGAGACCAGGCAAGTAGAAGTAGTCACGTACCCGCTTAGACGTGGATACTACAGTTAAAGTAACCCAGACACAGCTCACCAGGCCAAGAGCTCCCTGACAGCTAGCAGCGACGATGTGGGGGTTCACTCAAGTCATACCATTGGGAAGGCCCTTGAGAATGGTAGCTTGGAGAAAGGAAGCAAGTACATTGAAGACCTGGGAAGCAGGGGAAGTTCATCCTGAGGAAGAGAGTGATAGATGACTGAGCTTCCTAGGGACTGGCAGAGGGCACTGTGGCTAGAGTGGACAGGAGCAGGGCCCAATCATAGGTGTGCAGGGTGGTCGTGGGGCTGGGGAGCAGCTCAGGCTCATGATGCCTCTGCTCCTTGCTGGCAACCAAGGGGCCACCTCCTTCCTGAACCCATCGCCACCACCAATCCTGTGCTCCTTTGTTTTCAGCGTTGCTCTCTATATGTTGTACCCCAGGCGCTCTGCTGGAAAAGAAGGTGGATATGGACAAACGTGCACTGGGAATGACCGACTACAATGGAATGGTCACCAAACCCCTCGGCTGCCGCCCACCAATCTCCAAAGAGTCTTCCATGGACCGCCCCACCTTCCTTGACAAGGTATGGATCTAAGCGTCTGTCTTGTGTCTGCCTTCAACAAGAAGTCATTTTATTTGAGCTGTGTCCTTAAAGCCAGTTAGATGGGAAGTTAAGACATTTAATTGGATTTTCCTCAGTTTTCCTAACATGTAAGAGTGTTTAACTCAGAGGTACTGTTGTATTACACATGCTATCATAAGGCCTGAAGAGTGATGGAATTGAAAACTGGCTCTTTTTATTACTAATTAACTTGACAATTATCTATTCTGTTATGTAGATACGTAGCAGGTTTAACCTTAGAAAAGAAGTGGTAGATTTGGTTGGGTACCCTTCTTGCCAGTGGCCACATTAAGTACCCATGAGAAACTCCCAGGGTGTTTTCAATCCAGTCAAAGCTCTGTCCCCCTTTAGTATTATCATGGGAGGATGTCCGTGCTTCAAAGAGGTATGATCCCAAAAGGAGAATACCTCACATTTAATTCAACTTAAATATTGAATCCTGAAAATAAAACTGAAGTAAGAAAAGTATTTTTTTTTTTTTTAAAAAAAAATGAGGCTTGGTGGCACTAGTAACCCCAGCTACTCAAAAAACTGAGGCAGGAGGATCTCAAGTTCAAAGACACCTTATATTATGAACAAGACCTTGCTTCCAAGTAAAGGGGGACTTTCTGGGAGTGTTAGCTTAGGGGTAGAGTCTGTGCCTCACTGGCACTGGAGTCCAAATTCCATCTCAGTTCTCTTCTCTGAGGGGCCCTTGACACCCTGACGGGACTTGCTGTTCCCAGAGTCTCCTCATGCTACTCACAGGCAGATGAGCTGTGGCAGGCATGGTCAGAGCGTATTTACACTAAAAATTACTTGTTTATCTGAAACTTCAAATTATTGGCTGGTCTCAAACTCATTATCCTCCTGGCTCAGCCTCAGGGTGCTGAGATTCTATATGTGTACTATATTAATTTTTATTTGCTGAATCTGGAAGTGTAATTGGGACCTGAGCTCTTTAAGGTGTGGAGTAGCCTGCAGGTTGGTTGAGCTGTTAGATGAGATGTTAGGTTCGCAGAGCGGGGCACTTCAGTGTAACCTCAGAGAAGCTAAAGTCACTAGGCTCCTCTGTTAATGAGATTGAGTAAGCCAAGTGCTGTGTGGAGGTGGGATTTGGGCCCCCTAGGGACCTGTGCTCTTGGAGTCTGTTCCTCCCCCTGCAACCAGACCAGGGCGGTGGGTAGCATGGGGAGAATGTGAGAAGCTAAAATGTGTGTTTGTCAGTATCTGAGCAACAGCAGTGTCTTAATCCTGTTTCTCTCTTTCTTTCCCTTCTTCCTTTTGCCCATGTCCTCCATTTCCTCATTATCTACACATTTTTTATCGTTCAATTTTTTATCCATCCATCCCCTCCTCACTATTTCCGTGGGAAACTGTTGGTGCTCTGCGTGCTGGTGGGCACCGCACACAGCTCACCCTTTCTTTCTCCAATCAGGATGGCGGCCTCGTGGAAGAGCCCACGACTTCACCGTTTTTGCCTTCCCCAAGCCTGAAGCTCCCCCTTTCCAACAGTGCACTCCCCAGTCAGGCCCTGGGTGGGATTGCCTCAGGGCTGGGCATGCAAAACTTGAACTCTTCTAGACAGGTAAGGCTGTTGGGAAAGAGTGGGCAGTGTCTGCATTCATTCTCCTGACTTTTTTAAACTATTAGAGAATAAACTATTGTTTTCAGGTGATGCTCGGATATTAAGACATGAGGGAATAGGGAAACAACTGAAATGCCCTTAGGACTGCCCTTGGTGTGCTCAGGGAAGCTCAGAACTGAGTGGTAATTCCTGGAATTTAGCTACTCCATAGGAATGATTCAGGATTGTTTTTATACTGGACTAAAGTGTATTTGAGTTCCTGTCTGCACTCAGAACTAACTTGGTACTGGATAAAGTGCTGGTGTGTTACCAAGAGTCTTCACCATGGGGTCTCTCCCCAGAAACGGGACGTCTGTGAGCTTAGCAGAGCTCCTGGCTGTCTTTCCCGCTTGTGTTTATGTACGAAAGGAACTGAGAGAACCGAGTGCCTGTTAAGAAGCTAAGCAGTCCCTAGAGTATTTGTGGTCCCTGAAGGATTGTCATGGACCTGTCGGCTCTTAGCAGCTCCTTGGCGAAGGTTAGTGACAAGTCTGAACCCTAGAAACCCACTCTCTCAGGGCAAAGCACAGGCATAGCAAACTGTTGCCTAGTCCCTCTCAGTCGACTTTCCAACAAAGACAGCCATCCTGCTCCAACCTGTCAGCCAGGTGGCTCATGCTGCAGTATGCAGAACACACGCCAATGATATTCATTGTATTGGATAACAGGTTAACTCTCTGACTCTGCTAACTGATCCAGCCTTGGGGTTTGTTGAAGTAACTGAACGGCCACATTTCCCATTGAAATAGACTCCTCCTCCACCTGTTTCACCATGATCACTGCACTTTGTGCCTGACTGAACACAGGGAGTTCATAGGGAAGGGAGTGTGTCACTCAGACCACGTCTTATTACTGTTATTTTTGAAACATTCTTAATTATCTCTTTAACTGATAGCCTTGTTTGGAGACGCTTTAAGATGCACTGATATGTGTGTGTCCTATGATTTAAAATCATAGCTTCCTAGGCTGATTTTTCATCCTCTATAATCTGTACAAATTGCACTCATTCAGAGTGCAGTTAAGGATCAGGTTGAAGGAGTGAGAAACAGAAAAACATTGGCATTCATGGTGTGAAACCTATTGTTTCACCCTTCCCCAGCCTACCTACCCCTAAAAGCTGTTCTGTCTCCTGCAGATCCCGAGTGGCAATCTGGGTGTGTTTGGCAATAGCGGAGCAGCACAAGCCAGGACCATGCAGCAGCCGCCAGTGCAGCCTCTTAATTCCTCCCAGCCCAGCCTCCGTGCTCAAGTGCCTCAGTTTCTATCCCCTCAGGTCTGACCCAATAAACTCTGCGTGCTGTGCTTGGTTTAAGGAGATTACTGTGATAACCTGGTGGTATTCTTGGTTTAAGGAGATTACTGTGATAACCTGATGGTCTTCTTGGTTTAAGGAGATTGCTGTGATAACCTGATGGTCTTCTTGGTTTAAGGAGATTGCTGTGATAACCTGATGGTCTTCTTGGTTTAAGGAGATTACTGTGATAACCTGATGGTCTTCTTGGTTTAAGGAGATTACTGTGATAACCTGATGGTATTCTTGGGCCATTTGGAATGCAAAGACAAGCAAACTGCTGTTGGCATGGGACATCAAGAAGAGGCCACCAGGATAACCAGGACAGCAGTGCTTTAGTGAGATGACAGTTGGGATTATATATTAGAATGCACTGCATTGGTGTGGTGGTGCACACTTTTAATCCAGCACTTGGGAGGCAGAGTAGTGTTGGGAGGGTGGGGAGGCAGAGCAGGGGGAGTGTCTCTTGAGTTTGAGGCCAGCCTGGTCTACAGATCGAGTTCCAGGACAGCCAGGGTTACACAGAAACCCTGTCTCGAAAAGAAAAAAGAGTGTTTGCTGTAGATTGGTAATTATGTTAACTATTTACTAGCTGATCCTTTTTGCCTGGTGAGATTTTTTTTTTCTTTTGGAGGGGGATTTGTTTGTTGTTTTCATGATATATGTCCTAGTTAGAGTTGTCATTGCTGCGATGAAACACCCTAACCAAAAGCAAGTTGGGGAGAAAAGGGATTATTTGACTTACACTTCCACATCACTGTTGATGATTGAAAGAAGTCAGTGTAGAAACCTGGAGGCAGGAGTTGATACAGAGACCATGGAGGGGTGCTGCTTGCCATGCTCAGCCTACTCATCCAGGACTACCAGCCCAGGAGTGGCACAACCCACCATGGCCTGGGTTCTCCTTTTCCCATCAATCACTAATGGAAAATGTAGTACAGCTTGCCTACAACCCAATCTTATGGAGTCGTTTTCTCAGTTGAATCTCCTTCCTCTCTGATGACTCTAGCTTGTGTCAAGTTGATATAATAACTAGCCAGCACAGTGTCCCTTTTTTTTTTTTGAGATGGAGTATATATAAGACTGGATCTTTATGTAGACCAGGCTGGCCTTGAACTAACAGAGATCCATCTGCTTGTCTTAACCTCTTAAAAAGGTATGCACCACAACACCCACAAACTTAAAGAGATTCTTTTTAATTTTATATGCATAAGTGTTGTGCCTGTATGTTATGTCTTGATATCATATGTATGCCAGGTACCCCTGGAGGCCAAAAGAGAGTGTCATATCCCCTAGACCTGGAGTAACAAACAGTTAGAAGCCATCATGTGGGTGCTGGAAATCAAACCCAGGTCCTCTGCAAGAGCAGTCTTGGAATTTGGGAGATATTTATCCTGACCTTTAAACATAGAAAGACAATGTTGACCTGTGGAGAAGAACAGTGGATACAGTGAATAGATGACTGGAACTTGGTAGAAAAATAAGTTACATGTATTAGTGAGGGTGTAGCAACTTGTTCCTCCCCTACTGAGGCAGCAGAAAACTGGATTAATATCGTCCCCCCTCCCAATCTTAAAGTTTCCCTTTGGCAGAACATAACCTCTAATAGGACTGGCCTCAAGCCATGGAAAGTAAATGTAGGGCTAAAGTCTTTAGAGGAAGAAATCTTCTGGAAGCTGGCTTGGCATGGTAGCCCTTGCCTATAATCCCAGAATTCAGCAGGTAGAGGCAAAAGTTGATCAGGAGGAATCCAAGGCCATCCATTACATAGCCAGTTTGAGGCTAGCCTGAGCAACATGAGATCCTGTCTCAAGAAAGAAAAAAAATTATAATTATTTATTGAGACAGTGTTTCACTATGTAGCCCTAAATGTCCTGGAACTCATTCACTATGTAGAACAGGCTGGTCTTGAATTCACAGAGATCCACCTGCCTCTACCTCTGCCTCCCAAATACTGGGATTAAAGGCGTGCACCACCACATACAGCTGAAAAAAAATACATTAGTTCTAGACTTTCTTCTGTAATTTGAGCATGTTCACTACTAATGTTTATATGTCCATAAAATGTTCTGATGGCCTCTCAAGTTCAGCTGTCAAATATAATGTCAGTTAACCAGTTTGTGTCCTAAAACAAAGTTACACAGATAAGTGAATGTTTCCATATAGATGGTGGTTAATGATATATTTTCTGTTAAACAGGTTCAAGCACAGCTTTTGCAGTTTGCAGCAAAAAACATTGGTCTCAGCCCTGCACTATTAACCTCGCCAATTAACCCTCAGCATATGACGATGTTGAACCAGCTCTATCAGCTGCAGCTGGTAAGTAGAAAGGTCCTAGTCTAGGAACGGCAGAAACACCTTGTAGGTGGAGTTGCTGTCACACTCTCCATATTGCACTCTTTTGTGACTGTTCATGAGTCAGGAATGCGTTGCTTAAGGGTGTTATTGTTCCTAAGCTTTGTAAATGTCATAGCCTGGCCTATCTGTTCCTTTGGTCTGTCAAAATTTTCTCCTCTGAGCCACAGAACACAAAATAATGTTTTCCTCATTTCTCCCAAGAAGGGGATACACAAACACCATCATGGGATCATAGGGGAGAAAAGTTACTGCCATACCTGGAACATGTGCTTTGGCCTGTTCAAATACAGGTCTCACAGAACCTCAGTTGAGATCAGCTAATATGACCCAGGAGTTCTTACAAATTGTGTAGTTTAGGGGCTGGAGGGATGGCTCTGCAGTTAAGAGCACTGACTGTTCTTCCAAAGAACCCAGGTTCAATTGCCCGCACTGGTGGGAAGCATGGTAGCGTACAGGCAGACATGGTACTGGGGAAGTAGCTCAGAGTCCTATATCATGAAGTAGTCTGAGACACTGGGTGTGGCTTGAGCATATATGAAACCTCAAAACCTACCCTCACAGTGACACACTTCCTCCAACAAAGCCACGCCTCCTCATAGTGCCATTCCCTTTTGCAGCCATTTTCTTTCAAACCAACACAGACCCCTAACTAAGGGAGTCACATGCCCATGGTTCCTGGCAGGGAAGCCTTCCCGAAGTGGGCAACACACCTATGAAGTCATGCTGTTTCCTGGACTGACAGCAGTAGCAGGAGGCTCCTTCACCCAAGGCAGGAAAGGGTTCCTGGAAGCTGCACAGCTTGTGTCTGAGTAACACTGCAGAGCCTGCTGCACTGCCACTGGCCAGAGCTGGGTTTGGGGTTGACACACACAGTGTATTTCCCTATAGGGTTTTCCCCCATGGTATGGAAGGTACAGGAAAAGGCTGGCTTGCACCTGGTATACACACAGCCTTTGTTTCCTGGAGGGTTTCTCCTGTGTGAGTAAGTTGGAAGAAATATACTGGCTTACACCTAGTACTAGTCTAGTCATAATTTTTTTTCCAGAAAAGTTAGAAAAATGAAGTTTATTACTTGCTACAGTTTTAGAACTTCTAGAGAATTCTTACGTGAAAACCTTACGTGGACCTCCTGAGGCATTTTTAACAGTACCACCTCCATTGGGTTCTGTTTTAACCAAGTCTTCTGAATGACTTTTCCTGGAGAGAAAGGATCAAATGAGCACCAACAACAAATTAAAGAAACGGTTGTTCCGCCTAAGTCTAGATTGGTGACCCAGTGAGTTTATTGGCTTTATTTAACAGGAGCATGGGTGACTTGGGCAGCTGGATCACTAAAAAGCCCACCCCAATATGGGTGACTGTATTTGGACCTCACAGAGGCCTTGGGAATCCAGGGTGTTTGATTTGGAAGTTCCTATAGGAGTCTTCTAATCGAGACGTATTGAAGGAGCTGCAGGCTGCGTTCCTGCCGCCCCAGCTCCTGGTCACCTGGCTAGCTTATGCTCCGAAATAACAACACACAAACTGTATTCTTTTAAACACTGCTTGGCCCATTATATCTAGCCTCTTCTCTGCTAACTCTTGCACCTGGACTAGCCCATTTCTAATAATGTGTGTAGCACCCCAAGGTGCGTTTACTGGGAATATTCTAGCCTATGTCCATCCTGGGTCGGAGCCATCGCGTCTGCCCGGGAGAGGGGGAGCATGGCCTCTGAGCTCACTTCCTCTTCCTCCCAGCATTCTGTTCTGTTTACTCCGCCTACCTAATTTTCTACCTATCAGGGCCAAGCAGTTTTCTTTAATTGACCAATGAAAGCAACAGATAGAAATATGACCTTCCCACATCAGAGACGTCTCCCAAAATATGTTGTGCAGAAAAATAAGCAGCACTCAGCCAGCATTTGAGATAATCAAGTGAGAAGACTTTCTGCGTCAGCCAGAGGGTTGTGCTCATTTTTCCCAGCTTGTCCAGCAGTCGGTCACCCAAGTGCTTCATGCTGGCTCATGCACAACTGGACTGAGCTTTGTAGTGTTCTGCCACTTCATCTAGCTGACCTAGCCTTTAGTCTAGATCCTCCTAAAAATTCCTTTTTCTATTTCCTGAATGTTAAGGAGATTGACTCTCTTGTTTTGATGGTTTCTTACAATGCTTAATTTTTCTGTCAATAGGCATACCAACGTTTACAAATCCAGCAGCAGATGTTACAGGCCCAGCGGAATGTTTCCGGACCCATGAGACAGCAGGAGCAGCAAGTAGGTGTCACTTGGACTGACTGTTGCCATTAGCTCTAATTCTAGAAGAAACCCCAGTGGATGAACTCTTATCTTAATGTTGGCTTTTCTCTAGTTGAACCTCCTCTGTGGAAAGTCCAGGACTAGCTAGGTTTGGGATGAGGCTGACCCAGCTGGTAGAGGCTGAGGTACAGCTAAACCCAGTCTGTAGGTCATCCGTGGACTCTGGCCAACCCTGGCTAACGTGCAGTGTATATATATGTTTCCACCTGCCAGGTTGCGCGCACAATCACTAATCTGCAGCAGCAGATCCAGCAGCACCAGCGCCAGCTGGCACAGGCCCTGCTTGTAAAGCAGCCTCCACCACCACCACCCCCGCCACACCTGTCTCTGCACCCTTCTGCAGGCAAATCGGCCATGGATAGCTTCCCCCCTCACCCCCAGACTCCCGGCCTTCCCGACCTGCAGACCAAAGAGCAGCAGTCTTCACCCAACACCTTTGCTCCTTATCCTCTTGGTGAGTCTTCTGTGGGTGTAAAAGCTACGCCAGGTTCAGGAGTCCTCAAGCCCCTCCTATGATAACCAGGATGGCTATACAGTAAGCTGAATGGCTTGGCAATGCTAAAACACCACATCAGAGGCAGAATCCGGAAGTGAACCTCCTAAGACTTCATCTTGAGGGAGCAATACTGCCTTCAGCATAATATAAGTTCACCCTGCCACAGGTACTTAATAGTACCAGGGAGGCCCTATGTGGTAGCACTCACCTATAGTCCAAACACTTGGGAGGCAGGAGCAGCATTATCATGAGTTCAAGACCAGCCTGAATTGCATAACAAGGGCCTAGTTTGACCCATGGTGCTGGGGTTGAAGAGTGGGGCTATGAAAACCGTTAAGTTCATTCTGGCTTGTTATTGTTTGGTTTTCTGAAACAGGGTTTCCCTGTGTAGCCCTGGCTGTCCTGGAACTCACTCTGTACACCAGGCTGGTCTCGAACTAACAGTTTCACCTGCCTCTGCCTTCCAAGTGCTGGGACTAAAGGCATGTGCCACCACAGGCTGGCCTGGTTTATCCTCTTTACTATTTTTGGTTTTTTTTCTTTGAGACGCCATCTCAAGCTGTAGCCCAGGCTAACTAAACCTCTGAGCAGTCCTCCTGCCTCCACCTCTCAAGTACTAAGATTACAGGTCTCCATTGTTCTTTTCTAGCCTCAGCTAAAGAGAGACATCTGTCTCTGGTCATAATGTTCACACTGATAAAGCAGACCCTCCATAGCCTGGTTGCTGGCATGCACTCCTATAGTACAGGTGTGTGGGAAGTGCCAGCACACAGAACCTGACCTGTCAGAACACACTTGATGCCGGAGACTTCCTGGTACTAACTGGGGATCTAGGAGAAACATTTCAGGATTGTTTGCTGATATCTGGAAGAATCTGTGGACATGGGTCAAGGGGAATTAGTAGCTTCAAATATACATCTCCAAAGGGGCAAAGGCCAGCTGGATAGCAGTGGATAGCTGCCAGTGACCTTCCTCCCTCTTTAGAATGCTGATGCATATTTTTACAGAGAATGGTATGTCATGTCTTCCTACTTGACAGGTAATAGATGTAATAAATATACTCCTTTATAATGAAGTAGAAGGTTACTAAGCTAGAATGTATCCTCTGTTACTGTCTTGTCCATTATTGTCCCTTTAGTGGCAGAAGCACAAGTCTCCTTTGGTTAAGACCCGAGTTAGGACTTAGACCTCCTCAGTCCCAGTTTCTACCCACAGCTAATGTGTACAGTTTGCCTGGTTGCTCATCACCTCAATTTCCCTGTCCATATGAAGTAGAAGTATTTATCACACAGAGCTGTTTTAAAGATTTCATGAGTTAATAATATGTAGTTCTTTGGTTGGACATGGTGACTCATACCTGTGATCCTAGTACTAATGCTGTTGATCCAGTTACATAGACTTAGGTTTGAGGCCAGCCTGGCTTAGAGAGTGCTCAACAGAATGAAGAGAGAGAGAGAGAGAGAGAGAGAGAGAGAGAGAGAGCGCGTGTGAGTGTGTGTGTGTGTTTTGCACGTGCTGGTAGACTTGTGTTGAAAATGCCACTCAGTTCACCATCCACAGTGTCTCAGATCCTGGTGTACCTGTCCCCCAACCTGCTGAGACTTTATTTCTAGGAATCATGTATGCAGTGAATCTTTGAAACTGGATAAAGATTTATTTTGATAAAAATGTTAAGGTATTGAACTTACAGTTATATTTAATATATGTGATATAATATGTTTAAAATAGGCAGCTTAGCCGGGCGATGGTGGCACACGCCTTTAATCCCAGCACTCGGGAGGCAGAGGCAGGTGGATCTCTGTGAGTTCGAGACCAGCCTGGTCTACAGAGCTAGTTCCAGGACAGGCTCCAAAGCCACAGAGAAACCCTGTCTCGGAAAAAATAAATAAATAAATAAAAAATAAATAAATAAAATAGGCAGCTTATTAGCTATAGGAAACTTTACCTGCAAAATTGTCTGTCTTGTTGGCTCCTGGCTTTTTGCCATAACAGCACTGATGCTGAAGAGCCACTTAGGAACTGAACATCCTGTGGCAGGAAACCAGAAACCCATGTTACTCTAGGGTCTCCCCCTTCTCCCATGCAGACAGTGTGGGCTGCAGTGTCTCTTGCCTGATGGACTTAATCGTGTCAACAGGAACAGTAACCCAGTGACCTTAAGAACTCTCAAGAAGGAAAGGTTCACTGTCACCATGATAAACTAAAGATGAATACACCTGTGTTCACACACACCTTTAATCCTAGCACTCAGGAGGTAGAAGCATGAGTTCAACGCCAGCTTGGTCTACAAAAGCTACTTCCAGGACAGACTCCAAAGTTACAGAGAAACCCTATCTTAAAAAAAAAAAAAAAAAAAAAAAAACATGATCTCAGCATTAAGAAGCTGAGGCAGGAGGACTGCTGTCAGTTAAAGATTAGGCTGGGCTGTATAGCAAATAACAGGGTAGCCAGGTCATGTTCCAAGACCCTCCCTCAAAACAAAGAAATAAACTGGGCAGTAGTTAATCCCAGCACTTGGGAAGCAGCCTGTGAGTTCAGGGCCAGCCTGGTCTACAGGGTAAGTTCCAGGACAGCCAGGGGTACACAGAGAAACCCTGTCTTAAGGAAGGAAGGAAGGAAGGAAGAAAGAAAGAAAGGGGGGGGGAATAGAGGGAGAGGGAGAAATTTAAAATTGAGACCCAGGCAAAAGTTCAGTGAGTAATCCTTATTATCCTAGCATAGTGCTCTTCTTGCCCGATCCCCCCAAACATTAGCTCACCATTCCAGAGGTAGGTAGACAGCAGCACCCACACTCACAGAGCTCCTGAAAAGTTGTTTACTGTTTAACTCATAAGCTTCATTAGTGCTGACTTCTGCAGGCTCGCGTTGTCCCAACCAGCTTTAGGTGGTGTGTCAGGACTTGGAGGCAATTTGCTTGATCTGGTAGTTCCCACATGGTGCTATGGACTCACCTGACATGCCCTGTCTGGACCTCAGAACCCTGGTATCCAGCACCAAGACAGCATGGGAGGCTTGTGAGCCATGTGCCCTGAAGACTAGTAGCATGCTCACCTTAATTCAGGAGTGACTGGAGAGACAGCTCAGTGATTAAGAACACTGGCTCTTCTTCCAGAGGACTGGGCCTGATTCCCAGCACCTACATAGTGGCTTATAAACTATCTGTAATGCCAGTTAAAGGGCATCTGACTTCTTCTGGCCTCTGTGGGCACCAAGCATGTAAGTGATATACAGGCATACATGCACACTCAAATATTCACACATACACACATATATATAATTAATATAGCTATGTTAAATATATATTAAAAGATTTCTATATTAAAATATTCATAATTATATAGTTATAAGTATAAATAGTTAAATATATAGTTTATACTTAATAAATATAGTTGAGCCAGGTGTACTCCTGTAATCTCAGCATTTAGGAGCCAGAAGTAAGAAGATAGAAGATACAAATTAGAGGCTACATGTTAAGATCTTATCTCAAAAAAAGGGGCGGGGGGATGTAGGCATTGGACTCATGGCTAGAGCCAGGGTCAGTTAACTCTTAGTTGGAGACCAATGAGGGACTACATAATGAGACCTTGTCTCCAAAAAACTATAGAAGCAGGGAGTGGATTTACAATGGAAGTGTATGGCTGTGCCTAAAGGTAGAGGGTGACCCTCCAGGGCTGTCAAAGTGAGATCTTCAGGGAAAAAGCAAAATACTAATAATGCCTGTGTTTTCAGCTGGATTGAACCCAAACATGAATGTCAACAGTATAGAAATGAGCAGTGGTTTGTCTGTGAAGGACTCATCTCAGTCCCAGTCACGCCTCCCTCAGTGGACACATCCCAACTCCATGGGTAACTTGTCTAGTGCTGCTTCTCCCCTGGACCAGAACCCTAGCAAGCATGGTATGTATGTCCTGGGTAAGTGCCCACCCCACCGCAGGTTGTAGTTGACTTAGTGATGGGGTAGCCTGAAGTAGCACATGTTGATTCTGTGCAGTTCTATGAATGCAGCTCCAAAAGCAGAAGAAAGGCAGTTACCATCACACAGGACCGGCAAGGTCTACCAGCAAGATCAACCGTCAGATGTTAGTTCCAAACATACCAAAGAAGATAGGTCAGTGGCGCTTGCCTTTAATCCCTGCACTTGGGAGGCAGAGGCAGGTGGATCTCTGTGAGTTCAAGGTCAGCCTGATCTACAGAGTGAGTTCCAGGACAGGCTCTAAAGCTACAGAGAAATCCTGACTCAAAAAACCAAAAAAATAAAAATTAAAAAAAAAAAAGAGGCTAGGTCAGAGTCCTTGTAACTCCCATGGGGCCTGGAGAGATGACTCAGCACGAGCAGGTACTGCACTTCCAGAAGACCTGAGCTGAGTTCTATCGCCTGTATTGCATAGCTTACAGCTGCTTGTAACTAAAGCTGTGTGGCACCTATGGGTACCTACACTCACATATACCCAAGCCTGGATATACAAATACATAAAATAGTACTAAAAATAATCATCTTTCAGAAAGTAAAACACAAAAAGAAATACTCAGAAAAGAGAAAGAAAACTGCTAATCAGCAGGTTAGCCTACAGTGGGTTAGGGTGTAGCTCAGTGGCAGGGAACTAACCTCAAACACTTGAGGACCTGGGTTCTATCCCCTGAACTGGAAAGGAACAAAAGATAGAAAATAATCTAAAAAGAAAATTAAATCCCCTAATGGTTAATTTAGCAAGAAAATCTCCATGTAACATCTGTGCCCTTTACCTGGCCTTGTCAATTTTGGTTTATTATCTATAAATCAGTGTCCACTTTCTTCTTGCATATTAAGAGCACCCCTGCAGAAAGAGGCGGTGTAGAGATACCAGGAAGACTCTGATTTGTCCCCAGAAAAACTTACAGTGGGCAGCTTCCCAAGGTATAAAGATTTCTAGCTTAAGGGGATAGGGGTGTTCTGTGCACGCCTGTAATCCCAGCTGTTGGGAGGTAGAAGCAGGAGAACCAGGTGTTCAAGGCCATCCTTGGCTACTTATAAGTTGGAGGCCAGTCTGTATTTCATGAGATCTATCTCAAAAAAAATATTTTTTCCATATAACATTTACAACGGGGGGAGGGGGGCTGGAGAGGTGGCTCAGTGGTTAAGAGCATTGCCTGCTCTTCCAAAGGTCATGAGTTCAATTCCTGGCAACCACATGATGGCTCACAACCATCTGTAATGAGGTCTGCTGCCCTTTTCTGGTCTGCAGACACACACAGACAGAATGTTGTATACATAATAAATAAATAAATATTAAAAAAAAAAAGGATTTACAACGGGGGCTGGAGAAGTGGCTCCGAGATTAAGAGCACTAACTGCTCTTCCAAAGAACTTGAGTTCAATTCCCAGCAACCACATGGTGGGTCACAACCATCTGTACTGAGATCTGGTGCCCTCTTCTGGCCTGCAGGCATGCATGCCAGAACACTGTATACTTAATAAACAAATAAATAAATCATAAAAAAAAAGATTTACAATGTAGCTAGGAGTGTAACTCAGTCAGTGGTCATCCAAGAATCTATATTTATAGCCAGAGCACAAAAGGCATATTGGCATATGCCTTTAATAATAGCTCTTGGAGGCAGAGGCAGGAAGATCTCTGAATTTGAGGCCAGTCTGGTCTACATAGTGAGTTCCAGGACAGCCAGGGCTGTAAAGAAAGGCTGGATAGATAGATAGATAGATAGATAGATAGATAGATAGATAGATAGATAGAGTCATTAATATTCACTGGGTACGTGACATGAATTTAGTCAAGTGGTCAAGACAGTATGATCACTTGAGCCCAAGTTTTCAAACCTGCCTGGACAAGTCTCTTAAAAGTGGGGAGGAGAGTGTCGTCGCTGGGGAGTTGGCTCAGCAGGTAGGAGCACTTGCTGCAGAAGCATGAGATCCTGTGTGGTTGCATATACCTGTAACCCCAGTGATTCCTGGAGCAGATGGGAGGGTACCTTGGACTTGCTGACCACTAGCTTAGCTCCAGGTTCAGTGAGAGACCATGTACAAGGACACCTCTGGCCTCTGAGCAAGCACATGGGTGTACACACACAAATCAAAAATTTTTATACTTTTCTGTGTTATGGCAATAGCTCAGTTGGTAGAGTGTTTGCATGGATTGCAAGAAATCTGGGATAAAGTGTACAGCACCATGTAAACCAAGCTTGGTGGTATATGCCTGTGATCTTAGCACTAGAGAGGTAGAAATAGGGAGATCCAGTATATACAGCAAGTTCAAAGCCAGTATTAGACTGACCATATCTTAAAAAGAAACAAACCTTCCAACTTGACAAACTAAAATAGTTTATAGTGCCACACAGCTATAACCCCAGTATTTGGGGAACTAGAAGCAGTAAGATTAGGAGTTTAGGATCATTCTTCACTACATAGGAAGTTCAAGGCCAATCCAGACTATGTGATACCATCTCAAAAAAATAAAGTTCAGTAGTAGAGTACTTCCCTAGCACATATGAAACCTTGGATTAGATTCCCCACACTGAAAAGTAACAATGATGAGAACAACAACAACCAGGTGGTGGTGGCGCACCCCTTTAATCCCAACACTGGGGAGGCAGAGACAGGTGAATTTTAGTGAGTTTGAGGCTAGCCTGGTCTACAGAATAAGTCCCAGGACAGCCAGGGCTGTGCAGAGAAACCCTGTCTCAAGAAACAAAAAATAATAATGGGTTCATCAGTGCTTCTCGGGTAGAAGCTTGGCTGAGCATATGCAATGCCCTAGGTTATGTGCTTAGCACCACAAAAAATGTAGTCATCTAAAGACCATATTTGGGCCAACCGACAGTTCTTAAAGAACCCTGGACAGCTTAAGGCTGACAGTCCATGTGACTGCAAGGGGTGAGTGAGGTACTGGACCTGGAAGGGAAGACTGCAATGTATCCCCAGGGGTCTTTGACAGAATGTTCACTTGGTTTCTGGTCCTGTTCTGTAGGTGCTATCCCTGGAGGTCTAAGCATTGGGCCTCCAGGTAAGTCCTCCATTGATGACTCCTATGGCCGGTACGATTTAATCCAGAACAGTGAGTCACCAGCCAGTCCTCCCGTAGCTGTTCCCCATAGCTGGTCACGTGCCAAATCTGACAGTGATAAAATCTCAAACGGCTCCAGCATCAGCTGGCCCCCAGGTAAGACTGCACACTCTCTCAGGCAACAGTAGATGCAGATGTACCCTGGTATGCATCCTCATTTTGCTTTCCATGAACAGAATTTCATCCCGGAGTTCCATGGAAAGGACTTCAGAATATTGATCCCGAGAATGACCCTGATGTCACTCCTGGCAGTGTCCCTACTGGACCCACCATCAACACCACCATCCAGGATGTGAATCGCTACCTCCTCAAGAGTGGAGGTGAGGAGGGCCATCACCCTGCCTTCTGTGGGTGGGTCTCCAGGCTCATGGAGAGGCATCATCTGATTGTGCTGGATCACTGCATGCCTATAGGGAGGCCACATATGATAAAGAAGGCAGGGACTTGACCATCTCAGCAGTGGGAATGTGTATCCTCACTTGCAGAATGGGGGTGATAATGTCTCCTCATGGAGTGATGAAGAACACGTGATTTGTAGGTCCCACCTGAGTAGCTCAGCTGCTGCTTTCTCCCCACAGTGACAAAGGTCTGTGACTCTTTGAATATGCACAGGCAGGCAGCAGTGTAGGTTTGTGCTTAACTGCAGCCGTCCCACTGTGAGCCCCAGCTCCAAGGTGCACCCATGTTCAGCTGACCTGTCATTGTGGTGTCTGAAACACTCTTGTGACACTGCAGACCTCACAGCTCCTCAATAAAGCATTTCTTCTGGAGTAAAAGAAAGCGGAGAATGGATCTCAGTATAGATGGCTGTGAGCCACCATGTGGATGCTGGGAATTAAACTCAGAACCTCTGGAAGAGCAGGCAGTGCTCTTTCATCTCTGAACCATCTCTCCAGCCCCAAGAACTGTTTATTACATTTTTTTTAAAAAAAATTTAGAGTTGGGCTAGAGAGATGGCTCAGAAGTTAAGAGCACTGGCTGCTCTTCCAGAGGTCCTGAGTTCAATTCCCAGAAACCACATGGTGGCTCACAGCCATCTATAATGAGATCTGGTACCCTCTTCTGGCCTGCAGGCATACGTGGAGGCTGAACATTATGTACATAATAAATAAATCTTAAAAAAAAATTTAGAGTTTCTCTATATAGCTGACTGACTTTGAACTCAAACAGATCCCCCTGCCTCTGCTTCCCTAATGCTGTAAATAAAGGCATGCAACCACACCAGGCTTTATAAAACTTTCCTTAAGAAACACACACACTGTCTCGCTATCCCATCAAATCTCATCCAAATTTTAAACTGGTATGATATACTTTGCTGCACAGAGCTGCTGCAGGAAAGTGCTCCTGAGGCCTCTGCTCTCTGGGGATTCCCGTAACACCCCACGTGGACCTGGGGAGGAAAGCAGTGTTGATGTGCTCCAACATCATGCTAAGAATGCAAAGCCAGTGATGCTGGATTGTTCGCACTCCTTCTGATTTGACAAAGAAGTGTGCTTAAACCTTTTATACCTCCACTGGGAAGTAGCTAAAGAAAAAAGGCAAAAATCACCTTTCTTGATAGCATTTGGTTTCCAGTGTGTCTAGCCTGTATTCACTGTGAGGCTGTGGTCCTCCCATTAGCCAGCCCCAGGGTAAGGGCACATCTGTATTGCAAATGTGTCTTAGTGGCTGTTCAGTTGAGCTTGAGCAGATGAAGGAACTGGGGCTGGTGGTGTCCATTGCTTTTTGTGTTTCTCCCAATGAGTTCCAGTTACTGCATCCCCACCTGGTGTTGCATCTCAATCCAGAAGCTGTGGAGACACCTGTGGAGGTAGATAAAGAGATCTCTAGACACTTGGGAGATCGTAGTGGTTGTGAGGAAAGTGTCTGTCTGTCTTTCAGAAGGAGCATTACTCTGACTGGGTACTAATACTCCTAGAGACTGTACAAGAAGCATCTGTGTACACCATGACCATCCCAGCACAGCTTGCTGATTAAAGATTGAATTTGGGAGGTCTGGGTGTAGCTCAGTTGATAGACTGCTTGCCTAGCATTCACTAATCCCTGGGCTCCATTCCTAACACCAAATAATCAGGTATATTTATGCATGTACGCCTGTAAGCCTAGCACTTGGGAGGCAAAGGCAGCAGGATTACCACAAGCTCAAGGCCAACCTGGGCTACATAGGAAGACCCTCTCTCCTTTTTTTGTGTATGTGTGTTTTTTGTTTGTTTGTTATTTATTTATTTATTTATTATAAATACAATATTCTGTTTGTATGCTAGCAGACCAGAAGAGGGCACTAGACCCCATCACAGATGGTTGTGAGCCACCATGTGGTTGCTGGGAATTGAACTCAGGACCTTTGGAAGAGTAGGCAATGCTCTTAACCTCTGAGCCATCTCTCCAGCCCTGTTTGTTTGTTTTTTAATGCAGAGTTTCTTAGTAGCTTTGGATTGGAGCCTGTCCTGGAACTTGTTCTGTAGACAGGCCTTGAACTCACAAACATCTACCTGGGAAGACCCTGTCTCAAGCAAATACAAAATTTAATAAATAAAAAAGATTAATCTTCAGTACTCTATTTTCTTCATAGCAAAGGTTAGCAAACTGATAAAGTGTCAGCCAAGTCTGCACAGGGCACACACAGTATTTCATAGCAGAAATGATAGCTGTCCCATCAGCCCATGAGGCTGGCTTGGGCCACCCAGAGGCAGGGAAGCTTGAGACAGAAGGCACATCGTGCTCTGTCACTGCTGCCCTCCCTTCTGCAAGACTGCATCACTCCACAGCCGCACTCACTTGTCTGGGTGTGCGCAGTGCACAGTCTCTCTTTTTCTCCTTCCAGGTAAACTGTCAGACATTAAATCAACATGGTCCTCGGGCCCAGCCTCTCACACACAAGCCTCTCTGTCTCATGAGTTGTGGAAGGTACCCAGAAACACTACTGCACCCACCAGGCCACCTCCAGGCTTAGCCAATCCCAAGCCTTCCTCTACGTGGGGCACCAGCCCCCTAGGCTGGACCAGCTCCTACTCCTCGGGTAAGCACTGCACCTCCTGTTGACAGGGTACAGGGTAAGAGAAGCTGCTCCATACATGCTTTAGGAATGCACCTGTTTTATCCCAGGCCTATTATCAGATCCCTGGAGCCTGAGAGGTTAAGAAAGAGCTTGAGCATCATAAACCTATAGGGCATATACCACATGGACTGTGTCCTTAGACAATTCATTCTAGGCTTTCCACCCACCTCAGTCAGCACAGGGGTCTTAATTTCTTCACAAGATTCCATAGAAATAGAAAGGCTTTATACCAGAATGAAGGTCCCTCAGAAGTGCTGTGCAGCTCTGTAGAGTCCCTCCACCTCGTTTGCATCACGTGTGCAGTCACTGGGCACCATTGGCAGCAGTCAGCTGTGGAGATGAAGAGCAGTGTCCGGTCTTTAGCGCTGTCCTGCCCTGCTGTGCATTTCTATAACAAGCAGAACTTGAGTGTGCTGCCTGCGGCTGGAACAGCACAAGGTAGAGTAGAACTTTCCAAGTGACTCTCAGGTACCCTGTCACACCTACCCCTATGGCACAAACAGAAAAAGACAAGCCTCCTAGGCTGGCAGCAGGGTTTTCATGGGCCATGGGTGAAATCTACTGTGGTTATGAGATTGGGTATGTTTTAGGTCAGACTGGAAACATGGCCTGTGGGTTGAATTCTTGATCCATGGACTTGTTACACAGGTTCTGCTTGGAGTACTGACACCTCAGGAAGAACAAGCAGCTGGCTCGTTCTGCGCAACCTCACACCCCAGGTAAAAGTGCAGCCAGGTCGGGGGCTGTCATGTCATACCCATGAGTAGTTGCTTATGGCCAAAAGGTATCTGCTCTACCCCTGGAGCAGGTACCTGTGGTCAGGCAGGCATCTTCCTTCAGAGCCTAGAGTCGCTGAGGCAAGTATGAATGACAGGTAAGTGTGGGCAGACACAGCCAGGCACTTCTCTCAGCCATGCTCCTGGTGACTTAGTTGCCCTTCAAAAGCTGAAAAACATACTTTTATAAAGAGAACATTCATCTTACACATACATTCAAGGGGATTTGGCCACCTCAGGCATATTCAGCTTGTAGGCACCATTCTCTGTCACAGAACTAGCCTGTCACCTCAAGACTACCAGGCTGCTGCTATACCTTTTGCAAACTGCAGAACTCAAAATGGAACTTTGGAACTTTGGCCCTTGCCTCTGACTGGAGTAGCCCACATTGCAGATGCCTGGCGGCAAAGGCACCTTCCAGTGGTAGTTGCTGTCACTAGCCTGTCAGTGGAAGTCTGGTATGCAGTTCACCCAGTTTCCATACTGCTATTGCAGAACACAGCAAGAGCTTGAAGGAACGCATGTTCTGCCCTTTGCTTCCTCCTCAGATTGATGGTTCTACACTGCGGACACTGTGTTTGCAGCATGGGCCTCTCATCACATTCCACCTGAATCTGACCCAAGGCAATGCTGTGGTCCGTTACAGCTCCAAGGAAGAAGCCGCCAAGGCCCAAAAGTCTCTGCACATGTATGTTTTTTTCCTTAGTACTCTCACTGCTGAGTAGCCACCAGTGCCCAGTGTTGTTGGATGGGGGAGCGAGTGTTGTGGTGCCACCCCACACTGCTGCACAGGTGGTGCCCTGGGCAGAACTCTGTCCTTTCCTAGCCCTGATCTTGGAAATCCAAGATCAAAAAATATGGACAGACTTGACTCCTCTGGCTTAGCTCTTCAGCTTGTAGACAGCCATCTTCTTCCTGTGTCTCCACAGAGTCACTGGGTTTGTTTTGTGTTCCCTTGGAAAAGTTCAAAAGGAGCCTCTAGTTACCCAGGCTCCAGGACTACAGCAGCCCACTGCCCACTTGAGGGTGCTTTCCATGCAGAATACAAAAAGACCTGCTCTGGAGTATCACCAGAGATGGGGGACACTGATGCCAGCTGAACCCCCCACCCCCACCATACAGCACACTTAAACATGTACTCTACACATCAATCCTCCATGGCTGCCAAATTCATTATCTAGCTTAGAGTTAACAGTGACAATAAGGCCACAAGGCTAGGTCGTCATGATAGCCTGTGGCATGATATTTCTGTCTGTTTTTCCTGGTAGCACAGACTCAGGACTCAGAATGACACACTTACCCAGCCTCTTGCCTTCTAGGTGTGTACTGGGAAACACCACCATCTTGGCTGAGTTCGCTGGTGAAGAAGAAGTGAACCGGTTCCTGGCCCAAGGCCAAGCCCTCCCACCCACCTCCAGCTGGCAATCTAGCAGCGGGGGCAGCCAGCCCAGGCTGGGCTCCTCGGGCAGCACCCATGGCCTTGTGCGCAGCGACACTGCCCACTGGAACACCCCGTGCCTGAGCAGCAAAGGCAGCAGTGAACTGCTGTGGGGTGGGGTGCCCCAGTACTCCAGCAGTCTCTGGGGCCCTCCCAGTGCTGATGATGCCAGGGTGATTGGCAGCCCCACGCCTCTCAACACTTTGCTGCCTGGGGACCTGCTCAGCGGCGAGTCCATCTAGGGGTCACCTTCATCGGGGAGGAGAGAGCTGACCATGCCAGGCACGGCTCTGAGGCTCCAGCTGATGGATGAGCTGCCCCTTCGAGTACCTCTGTCCAGTTCTGAAGATGAACCTTGGCCTCAGCCCTTGCGAACTGTTGAAGACAGTGCGGGCTGCGTTTGGTCAGTGTCACGTGCTAACGACAGGATGTTCCTCATAGCTTTTTATTTTATGTCGTCTTATGTTTGTACGGTGTGTTGTCATTTTGCGTTTTAAGTATAAAAGCTGCTTAGAATAGTTTTATCATGAAGGGCACTTTTCAGACTGTGGGCTGGAAAGGGTTATTTTATGGCGGGGTGGGGAGACTTGAAGCCTATTTAAAGTGAGCCTGTGACGATTATGCACATTACCAGAGGCGGCGGGCGGGCGGGCGGGCAGCTGCGTTGTGCAGGCACAGAGCTGAGGCGTGGCTAATGCTCTGTCCCCCTGGATCCGCCTATGCACATTTACCCTTGTTTCATTACTTTTTCATGTCATTTTTTTTATCCCAAAAAATTATTTTTAAAAAGTTAAAAAAAAAAGACATATCAGACATGCAAATACTTGAACCCAGCAGGCCAATACCTAAATGTGAACACTTCCACGTTGACATCTGTGCACAGAAACAGGCTCTAGGAAATGTCCACGTCATAGCCTACATGTGCGTGTGTGCTTGTGGAACAGTGCGTGTGCGTGCTTGCACGGTTAGCGTTTATTGTATGTGTGTTTGAGAGTGAGTGAGGGATTTAACTGTGGGTTTCCCTTTTATTCAGTATATGCTTTTTTTTTTTTTTTGTGCATTGGTCAAATGTTCTCATTGTTGTTCGCTTCTAACTTTGCACTGAGGTGTCCCTGCCCTTCCTTCAGCTAATCCTAAACAGTAAAGAGAACGTGGGACAGGGCTGGTGACAATTCATGTGTAAATGTTTACTCAAGGACTCTGTTATTGCATTTAAAGTTACAGTGTATATCTCTGGAGAATAATATGTCTATCTACCTTTAGCAGCTTTTCATTGTGGACTAATGCAAGAAGATTATTACCAGAGTATTGCACCATTTCCCATCTGGAATATAAAGTTAAAGAGAAAAACAAAACTGTTGTTGAACTGTGGCCATAGATACTTGTAGAGAATGGGTGTCCCGCAAGGAGCGGGAACAAGCACTTGGACATGGGTTGTGACTGCTTTTGGAGGAGCTGTGCTTTGGGCTCCCACCTGTTTACAGACCTTTTTTCTCCTTCAGACTTTAAAATAAAATTAAAAAAAAAATTAAAAAATTTAAAAGGAATAAAAAAAAAGACTTCCATCTTTAAAAAAGGAAAAAAAAACAAGCAAACAAACAAAAACCTATTTTCAGAATACAGATGTGTTACTTCAGAGCTCTGGGATGGGGCGTGCTGTTCCCTCCAGCCATCATGGACTCTATCAATTGTCTTCACCCTTCCTCAAGGAGATGAGGCATTGTGGTCTCTGTCTTGCACTTGCCGGCTAGCTCTCAGGAAAGCCAGGGCTCCCGGGGGCAGCTCCACACCATTTCATGTATTTTTAAACCCAACTCCTAGCACTGAAGATGTTATTTAAAAAAAAAGAAAAAGAAAGAAAACAAAAAAAAGAAAAAGAAAAAAAACAAAAAAAAAACACAAAGAAGAAAAATACCTAATCTCTAATGTGTAGCAGTTACATATTTACCAAATAATGGACTCAAAAGAAATAGATGTTTGAAGAGTGCTTTATATATTAAAAATTGCTTTATGTTTTAAAGATGATCAATGTTTTGATTGTTTTGCAAGGAAGAAAGACAATGAAATAACACACCCTCAAGTATGTTTTAAAAAATGTATGAACATTGTACTCCCTGCCTATGTGGTAAGGAAACCTGTGCATTACATTTTTTAATTAGCTTTTTAATGGTTTTATCAAAACAAGGAAGAAAGCAAGTCCTGCAGGACCGCAGAGAAACGCTGGTTCTCTAGAGGATCATGAGCTATGCACAACTGAGTTCATCGTGTATCCCCCGGAACAGACTCCTCAGAGTGACTGCATCTCATCACCATCACGTGCGTCCTAGATATTTGATGTATGTATATCAAATACGTGCGTGTGCGTGCGTGTGCTCCAGACCTACGCTTACTGTGCTGCCATTTAGCACTGAGTTATAGAAAAACTCCTACTAATGTTTTAAAATTGGGGATGAAGTAAAGGATGTTTTCAATCTTTATGCCCCCCCCTTTTTTTTCTTTTTTCATTTTTTTTTGAATCTTTTGAATTTAAAATGTCTCTAAGATTAAAAGAAAAAGCATTTGTGGCGCTTAGTGCCCCTCCTCATGGAATGTGGTGGTTGGACGCACACCAGAGGTTGCTTTTAAAAATACAGCGCTTTGTTGAGTCTTAATAAACTGCGGTTTTTCTTGGCTATTCATTCTTGCTGGGTCATTATCTATCTGTGAGAGGCAGGGACTTCCTTTTTCACTTTCTGCTGAGTTTGCATTCATTCCTGGCTAAACTCAGTCTTGTCTGTTTGACTTGAAGCATTGCTTTGGTTTTGCTAAGAATATGTGGATTCTGTCAGTAGCCACTGAGAGACGTAACAGTTTCTAAGTCCCACTGGCCTGACTGTATTGGATGCATTTGAAGACCAGTATAACCCAGGCAAGCAGCGGGTAGAGCCAGGGGCTACAGGTTTTCCCAGAACTGCCACCCATACTCATTGTCACATGTCCAGTACAGGCATTTAAAAAGAAACCAGAGAGGCTGGGATGTAGCTCACTGGCAGGGCTTTTGTGTGTAGGCACAGGGTACTGGGCTCCATCCCCAGTGCTATCTGGAAAAATCACGGTGGTTATGTACCTGTAGTCCCAGTACCCAGGAGGCTGAGGAGTAGCATTGCCTGGGTCCACAGGCCACGCAACAAGCTCCCAACTCAGAAAAAAAAGGGGGGCATGAATGTGCTTTCCAAGTGTTTTATTGATCTCTGCCCCAAAACCTATTGGCTAAAATGCACAAAACAGCGGCATTGTTGCCCTAGGGCTCATGGATGGCACTAGGTCAGCTCTCACACGCTATTGTTGGCCCACCATGTGCTGAGGAGGAGAGCTGGTAGCTCTGCTAAGGAAATCACCCATGGGGTCCTGGCCTCATGGGAATCCAGAGGGAAGAGTGAGACTCGGGATTTCAAGCTGCCCTTGGCCTTCCAGCAACCTCCAGCTCAGCTGATCAGAACTTCGGCAGAAGAGCAGACTACGGCTAGCCTTGGAGCTGCTGTTTTTGTCTCCTGTAGGTAAAGAAGCAGTGGCTTAGAGGAGCCTCCTGTGTCAGTCAGGTGCTGTTATCAGCCTTCCAGTGCCTTCGAGACAGCCAGGGAGTGAACAGGTTTGTGGAGGTGGCACCCGGCCTGGCATCGAAGCCACGTTGGATTTTTGATGAGGACCAGAATGAGAACCAATGGAAGAAACCTCATGGGATTGGATTGGATGAAGTAGGCCTTATGTCAGATCCAGGAAGCAGTAGGTTTGGAGCTGCCCTAGCACCACACTGTTCTGACGAGACTGTGGCACAGCAGTGACAGCAGAAGGCAGGATGCCCAGCCAAGGTGGTGTGCCTGACAGAAGAGAATGCCCGTGGAGGTGGGCAAGCCCGACTGGGACCCAAGCCATGGTGGGAGCTACTGTGGGGCCTGCGTTGAATGAAGCAGACAGACGTTGGCAGCAAGGGTTATCCTGAGAAGCTTCTGTGTGGCCAGGGTGACAAGTGCCCTTGTGAGCCAGTGCTTCTCGGAGTCACTGCTGATACAGACGTCCTCACAAGCTCATCTGTCAACCCCATCCATCCTTGTGAACAGCCTTCAGCTTAGGTGTCCACCTATGACAGATGGTGTTAGATTGCACCCAGAAACCTTCAAAATCATAGTGCTTGGTCTGAGTATTCCTTAAGGAGAGCAGAGGCCCAGGTGGCTTCAAAGCCTGTGTGCTCCCCTGTGCAGCCAAGGTCAAGAAGCAGAGGTGACAGGAACGCACAGCTGCAATGCCAGCATTAGGAGTGCAGGCGAGAGAATCAGGACTGCAGTTATCTTTGCCTAGCATGGGCTACATGAGCTCTGTATTCACCGTGAAACGCTACGACCTGCTAAACAGAAGTTTACAGTTTCCCAGTCTGTAATTGCATTTGCCAATTACAGGAAACTCATCTTCCCTTCCTTTCCTACAAAACACCAGTGGGGGGTGGCTTTGTGGTAGAGCCCCTGATGCTAAGCACTCCCAGGAACCCTAGAGCCCCATCCCGAGGTAAGGAATGGAGGTTGTAGACAAAAAGCATGGTCAGCTGGGGTGCTGACAGCCTCTGCTGCTCTCAGGCATTGCCTGGATCCTTGTGAAACACCCCACGGAAGGCAGCACTGGTGATTCTGTGAAAACTCCCTGGGTATGTTCTCAGTGGTGCATCCTGACTTTGTGAGACAGAACTGATATCTTCATTTAATGCAGGGCCCACGGGGACTGGAGACACAGTGCCATCCAGCTGTGACAGCTGAGACACCCATGGGGCTGGCCTTAGGGTGGCACTGGACCAACTGGGGGATGGCTGGTGCCCAGCATGGACTTGATTCCGTGGGGACAAGTGGGCCCAGCACTGCTATTTTGTCCTGACCCAGGGTGACTCCCAAAAAAAACTGCACCTACTGAAGGTCATTCAGACTTGAAGGATGCTATCTATGGCTGTTGAGTCTCAGGAGTAAAACCTACAAGCTCCTGTAGCTCAGTTCACCCAGGGCATCTCACCCCAAACCATCCACCTTAGACTGGGTGCTGATGGTCCCTCCCTCTACCAAGGGGCTTCTTAACCCATAGCATTGAGTCATCCCTAAATACGGGAGTCCTTCTCTAAATATGCTCCCTTCCTTTGCCACATAACATCACCATTGATCAGTTTTTCACTCTGGGCACATAGCCAGGGTCTTGCTCAGGAAAATGTAGCCACTTCCCCTTTGCTAGAAGATGACCTTGACTGAGCCCCAAGTCCTGAGGTTCCCATGGAAGGCTTGTGGGTCCCAAGCACCTACACGTACCTGGCAGGAGCAGGTCACGAGCCTATCCCAAAACACAAATCCAGATTGCAAAACCCATTTAATTAGAATAAAAAAAAAAAGTTGGGTAAAGCCAGGTGTGGTGGCACGTGCCTTTGATTCCAGTACTTGGCAGGCAGATCAAGGCTAGCCTGTTCTACATAGTGAACTCAGGACAGCCAAGGCTGTGTCGATAGATCCTGTCTTCAAAATAAATAAATTGAAGAACCTAGGGGAAGGGAGTCCCAGGTAGGACAGAGTAGCCCCACATCCTTGCTCGGCCATCACCTCGAGGAGTTGGTGACAAGGAAAGTTACTCTAGTGCTGTGTCCAAGTCTCTGCCTGCAGGGTCATGGTGACTGTCCCCTCCATCCACAAACTGGGCAGATGTAGTGGCCTCCTCAGTTCTGCCAGGCCTGCCAGAAAGGAGAATCAGGGTGACCCAACCAATGAGAAAGCCCCTCTAACCTGTGTGGCTGGGCTCAGTGGATGCTCTGAGCCCTGATGTTTCATGTCAGGCCTTCCAGGTTGAAGGCTCTAGAACAGTGAGGGCCAAGCTGACAGAGTAGCCTGAATAACTTGCGGGATTACAATCCAGGAATGTGCTGGGTCACATGAACTGGTCACTTGTGGTTCAAACTCTGAACAATCGGTGACCTTGTGTGGAACAGCTTGAGATAACAGTCCCCTCAGTAAAGGCCTGTCATCAATACTGGGGCTCAAAATAGCACATACACACCTACTATCTCTACAAGGCATAGAGGCTGGGCTGTGTCTGACCTCAGGTTCCCCTACAAGATAGCCTGAGGCCCATGAGGAGTAGGAGTTCTGAGAGGCCTTCAGTGCCTTGGCCTCACTGGTCTGCAGCTGAGGGAGGACCTGTGGACATAGCCTGGGGGACAGCCTCAGCCTGGTGGGAATGGGTGGACCTCTGTGTGGACGTGTCCCACTCAGCAGGGAGAAACGGGGTCATTGTAAAACTAAACTGGTCTTTGGAACTGGAGAGATGGCTCAGACTTCAAAGGCACTGTACGCTTCCACGGAACCCAGGTTCCATTCCCAGCATCCACATGGTAGTTTAACTCCAGTTCCAGGGGATCCGATGCCCCCTTGACCACTGCAGGCACACATGTGGTGCACAGATATACATGCAAGCAAAACACCACCCATACACCTTAGTAATGCCCAGAAGTGGCTCTCCATCCCCGAGAAACCCCTGTATCTCAGCAGCCCCCATCCCACCTCTAACTGAGGCAGTGGGGACAGTGAAGGCAGAGGGTGAGGCAAGCCAGGAGCTGACTCCTGGAGCCCCAGAGTACCTCACCACTGCAATGGGGCAGTGCCACTTCACACCACCCTCCTGCCCCTCCCATGGGCCTCTCCATCACCTGTTCTGCTCCCCCTCGTAAACAGAGTGAAGCTTGTTGATCAGGAAGATTTTGTCCTCTCCCTCCTGGAAAGGCCAGAGCACAGCATGAGACGACAGAGTTGTTCATCCCTCCACCCTAGAGTTGGCCTGTTCTGGACTTCTGTGGAGCTCATGTAGGAAGTTCAACATCACAAGGAACAGAGTTAAGAGGTCTACCTTCTATCCCAGGAGGTAGAGGCAGGCAGATCTCTGTGAGGGAGGCCTAGGCTTTGGCTTTGGAAC